GAGAGGGGGGGGGGGGGGGCACGAAATTTATGTTATATTTACAGAAACTTTTACTAAAAAAATTATCAAATCAATATAAATGATTGAATTAGTGGGTTATCTTAATTTTTTTGATAAACATTTTTTTTTCTTATCTTTCTAACGGGGAATGAAAAAGGAAGTGCATACAGCTATAATGGTGGTCTCTGCAGGGAATGGTTGGAAATCGTAAAAACAAGAGGGGAACTGCTCAGTGGAATATTGTAATGGGATCTCTCTCTCACACTGAATATTAAAATGCTTTCGATTATGGACTGGAAATTTCCCATTTATTTTTTGGTATGCATTAAATTTCTCTCTGGGACTGAATGTTTTGCTTTTAGTTATTAGAATACGTATTTCAAGCTAATTCAAATGGTAAAAGAAACGAATTGTAAATTTAATTATTTTAAATTTAAATTTTAACAATTTTTTGAAGTTAGACCATTAGAGATTTACCTCTTCTGATCACTCTAATCTCGATGTGGATGACCTTTTTTTGACCAGACAAGAAAAAAAATTAGTCAAAGTGTACGTACACTAATTGAAATACTATGCTTACCCAAAAAAAAAGGTAGATATTGAAATAATGTGGTGATGCATCTTTAATAAGTAGATGGTGTGGGAATAATTGCAGTGGAAGTAGTCCTACCTAAATTTTTTTTTTTTGGAAGAGGGAGGGATAGGGGAGGGGAGAGTTAAAATTTTCGCAAGATAAAAAATACCATTACACCAATAGCCGTTGATAAAATAATTCTACCTCGAACTATAATATGAAGGCTAGTATTTGTCAATTCGATTATATATCTTCATCTCCAACGTACGTCACCAATAGTGTCTCTTCGTGTCCAAATATTCCTAGGTCTTTCTTGCCCTAAACCACCCACCTGTTGAGCCCCACCCGGCCCGGCGAATCCCAAACCAAAAAGACCAACCTCATTCCCCGGCGCCAACATGGGTGCATCACGTGAGCCATGGATGTAACACGTGTTGAGGTGATAGGTTCTTCTTTGTTCTCACCCCTTGACTTGAATTGGATTGAATCGTAACGTTCCTTAACAGGGTATTGTTTACTTAGTCATGATCTGCGCCAGATTGCTTTGTTTTGAATACTCTGATTTGAGTATATCGACAACCTTTCCCTCACTTGAAAACAACCATGGAAATTGCTGGCATATTCTTTGTTTAATTATGCTCTGTTCCCCATGGAATTGAACAGCTTGTCTTTATGTCGATCAATTGTTTATAGGATTTTGATTGATCACAGCAAGAACAAGATGAGAAGAAAGAGTTAATTATTTGTTAATAGTTTCCAAAGCCATGGTCAGCGCCTGATGCGCTCTAGATTCTCCGGGAAATGAAAACTTCTAACCCCATTCTCCTACTGTATTTGTGTTAATTATAATTACTCTCTCTCTCTCTCCAGTGTTGGACTAAAGAATATTATGGTAGTAATCGGCTCTTATAGGGTCACCCTTCGGCTTGCTTTGAATGTTTTTTTTAGTTTTACAGGGAAATTTGGTTTAACTTATGCGTATCTCAACTAATTCTCTCCCTGATCCGGTTAAGTAATCAGCTCGTATAGGGTCAAAATGTCTCCATTTGGCTTGCTTTGAATTTTTTTTTTTTTGGTTTAATAGTCAAAGGTGTTCGGCCTAATTTACAGGCACATCGACTAGTCCTCTTCCCAGTCCGATCAAAGACAAATCATTCATGTCTAAATTAGAGTATTTATGAGGGATAAACCCCTCGTGATCAGGCTCAAAAATATTATCAAAATTTAAATTCAAGACATTTAAATTTATAACTCGTCTCTGTAACCAGTTGAGTCACCTTAGGTTTGCTTTGAATGTTTTCAAATGCTTGGGCCATATTCCATACTCCATGTGTTTGTCTTATCATGCATCCCTAACCTCCAACCCCTTCCCCTCCCAAGACTTTTTCATTTTCTTGTGTCGTATATTTTACGATTAGTATTCGATGTTTTTTTTTTTTTATAAGATTGAAGGGTTTGATATCTGTTGTCTTACATGTAAAGAGAATATTTCTTTAACTATTGATTTGTCTTTTAATACTAGTGCTTTGTCTTTCACTATTTCATTACACATATAATAGTTAGCAGAATATTCGTGGGATTAGGATAAAGACATGTGTTGCCTTGAAACCCTAATAGAAGAATAGGAAGACAAAAGAGAAGAAAAGGAATCACCTAAATTAGCGCCGTCTCGATTCGTGTGAGCCATGACATTACATCACATAGGACTTGTAAAACAAAGAATGTTGTTGGGTGAAATTGGACGTGGGCCAGCCCTAACCCAATCTATGCCAATTGAAAATAGTTAATATCTAGGCAAATTTCCAGTAAATAAATTGGGTTTGAAAAAAAAAACTCGACTTAATTTGAATGTTTGGGTTTAGTTTTTTGAAATTTAACTCAAACTTGTTCTGAATTTGAATTTTTTAATTCAATCACTTATTGTGTACAAACTAAAGATTAAATTTTTGCTTCAAAACGTCTTTATTTTTAAGAAGACCGAAACGAATCAGTAAAAAAATTAAAATTTTAATATTTCGAGGTGTTATATAATGTTTTAAAAAAATAATTCTTTATTTTTTTATTTTTTTCATTTTATTTTTGAAACAGGTGAAAACGTTTTCGAAGTACGTCAAAATATTTTCATTTTTTAGGTGACAGAAATAATGCACCGAAATAAAACTTTAATCCTTGGTACAAACCATCCTGAATTTACTACTTTGGATTGATCCTAATTGTTAGGGTTTTCACATCACGCTTAATAGTTCGCCAATGACTTGGGTGTCAACTAGGTCTATCAGTCATATTATATATCAGTGGATTTGTGTTAAAAAATATTATTTTTATACTCGATTTATTTATTAATTCGTGTCTAACGAGTTATGTCATATTGGATTCGTGTCGTGTATGAATTATACATATAACTGATATATAAACGAGTTATGTCATGCGTGTATTTTTTTTTATGAATTTTACCCATACTCGATTCATTTATTAATCGTGTTATATCGAATGATTTAAAAAAGATCCAAACCCTTTAATTCCATGTCCTGTTGTATCATAAGGAGTTATATTATATTTTGACACCTTAATTTTAGCTATTAACATGGAGAGTGGGAATTGACCAAAAAATCAAATTAAAAATAAGAACGAAATAAAATGCGATTAACATGGTAAATAACATTTGAATTCTAAACGAATAAAAAGGGAATTGAAAGTATCAGTGTTGCAGCACCAAATCAATTAATTTTAATTTTAATTTTTTTTTGGTGAATGTAGCATTATTCTTGCAATAATAATGCTAATGAGTTACTGAGTGCAATCACGGTCAAAACCAACAAAAAGAAGTGGAGAGGTTGAAAGCTCGCTTTCAATGGAAAACATTTTGACAGCAGCAATTTCCTACTGCAGATGCAACGTTGCAAATTCAAAACCTTCCTAATCAAAAGTCACCCAACACCGAGTAGGGTGGTTGAGTGGGGGATATCGTATGGATAACTCTTTGGAATTTTTTAATGGTGGTATAATGATTTTTGATGATACACAAAATAGATTTATTTACGATGGATAGTCGATTGTGTGATTTAAGATAATTAATGAAATAATCAATAAGACAATTAATAAAAAAGACAAATATTAGATCAACACAAGTAACACACAGATATATAATAGTTAGGTCAAGATAACTTATTCCACTTTGAATATGGCAACGGTGGCTGTTGGTATTTATTAATGAAGTAGTAGGTGAGAGAGAAAAGGTATGCTCTTGATAGCTATGAGAAAGATAACTTTGTAAAGTGTGTAGTAAGATGTGTAAAAAGTGTCCCTCTTATGCGCAGAGAGCTTATAATTTATAAGCTCATAGCCTCGGTTGAGGCAGCGGCGTGAAGAGATAGGTGACTAATTTAGGATATGTACAATTAGAGATAGTCTTGATCTTGAAGAGTGGCTATTCTGATGATTGCTCCTCACGTGCACTAATATTCTTGGATTCTTTGAATCTTGGTCTGAGCCGAATTCTCGAACTGAGCTTGACTTGCCTTGTAGCTAATTTGAGCTTACTTAATGAGTTGGGCTTGGACCCGGTTAGATATGAGCCCATCAATTTTTTTTTTGGTTCAATACTTAGGAGTATCCGAACTAACGTACATGCACGTGGAATAATTCCCTACTTAGTACAATCAAAGACAAATCATCAACGCGGAGACTATGATATTTATAAAGGATAAATCTCTCATAATCTGACTCTAATGGCTTGTTTTGATGGATTTTTGGGGAGAGTTTGGTTTGACTTCCTCAAATCCTTTCAAACCCAAACTTTTTTTTTACAAAGATGAAATTCAACATTAAATCCGGTTCATATCTATGTTTGGTATGCAACACATGCACTTGTAGGATCCACATATATATCATAATTATTAACAATCATTTATCATGTAAATGATTGTTTTACCCGTGATCAATCTAATTCATATTCATATTAAGGGCTACAATTGTATTTTGCATCTTTAACCCCTTAACCCATCTTCTCAAATCCACCTTTCTTAGATATGACGAAACTCATTATCATGAATTTAATATTTAAGTCAGTTGCGGATTGAGTTTGAGAACTCAGGATTGAATTTTCAATTCAAACATGGAGTTTTTGTATCCTTTGAACTATTTTTCTTATATCTATCTTGTCAAGCCCCTCCATACCCCTTTATCTAATAGCCTTAAAGAGCTGTCCAGATTCAAACGGTAATTTTTCTTCGAGTCATTGATAATAAAGAGCAATGCTAATGGATTTATTATTAGATTGACTTTGAGTTCCATTAAACATAAAAATTTAGTATTAATCCAATAATTATAATGAACCATATTATTTGATCAAATTTTTAATTCTAAATATAATTACTCGGTTGACAATTGGCTTATTCACAATTGCGCGATATTCACCAACCCAAATGACTGCATGTCTGTGATCTTTATCAACTAGACACCTATAGAAATACCGACTATCATTTCTGATTGTACAAATCTTGAAAACTCTTGCTCATTTATCCACCCGAAACGAGCATTCTAATTTCTAAACCAGCATAACCTTCGGCTAAATTAAAACTGGCCCAATTAAGATCCAACCATCAGCCCCTTATTTGCTATAGATGCAATGCTCTCAAACAAACCAAGCCCAGAATTCAATGTCCGGACCATATTTGCAGTATATCCGAGACTCACTTATTGAGGATGCCCTTGTCTAACCCAAGAAGACGATAGAGATGAGTTTACAATTCACGGTCTTAACTTCGAATTTTAATAATTTTTTTGGTCTAAGTTATGAAAAATTTATTCTTCATTACTTCCTTAGTCCTGGTATAAATAGTCTACATTTGACCAAACTGAAAAGTAAATTAATTGAAGTACACGTAAATTGACCCGAACACCTCCGACGCTTAAGCAAAAAAAAATGAGATTTCCTTAACAGTGGAGAGTAAAACCAAAAACTCAAAAACTGATAATTTGAGGGTGCTTAACCCAGAATACAAAAAAAAAAAAAAAAAATTGGGGTTACTATAGTCGAACCCCAATTTGTAAAAGATGAATCAATTTTCCTTCGGATTCGATGTCTTGTTTGCATATTCTTATTGAGACAGCTGTTACAAACAATGAGCTCTTCTTTGCTATGGAACTCCTGGATTTCTTGAGAGATTATGGATCCTAATTGAGGTAATGTTCAGATCATTTCCAAGTCTTGTGTACTTTTATCATGAGTTACTACACAATTTCACTCCGGAACTCTACCCCGAAAACCAGCTTACAAAGGAATAATGCCTAAAAATTTATATACACACATCTGATCTTATATTTTAACCGATACGGTGTAATGTATGAGACCGAATGTGTGTAACAACAGCTTGATCAATCTTGTTATATAGCACTTTACCTGAATACCATAACTTTCCCCTTCTTCGGGTTTAAGTTTTAATTAAGCGTTGGTGAGGCGAGGTTGAAGTTGAACCCACAAAATAATGACCAATTTTCCATAAAAAATAGAGTGGGTGCTCCTGTACCTATGGTTACAGACTACAGCAGTAGATTGAAGCACATGAGTAAAGAGAGATCAGTTGAACATCTATATATTGTGCTTTGAATATGAAGAAAGAGGATTCTAGGGATAGCTGCTTCTATAAATACAAGAAACGGTGTTGTGACTCACAAAACGGATTGAGAACTTGCCAGTACATGCTGAGCCGCCTCACCTCAATGAGGATTACGGTAATCATAGACACTACTGGAAGTTTGGAGTACAAAATCTACTGACATATGATCGGGATGAATTTAAAAGCCTGTTTCATTAATATATACAATGTGAAGGTTGTGATCAAGAACAACAGTGATTAAGAAGGATATGCTTCTTCTAAGAAATTATGATAGAGAAAAAGCTATTTCTCAGATTCTTCAACAGCTGCTTCAATTCGTAGAAGAACAAATCCGACCGCGACGCCGATCAGAACAAGTCCGTTCATGATGGCTGCAATCTTGAAAATCTCAGCAGCATCATCACATGTGGAAGACAATGCACCGCCGCCGCCTCTACGTACGGCATGGGACGGCGTTTTCAATGAGTTGAGAACCTCTGCGAAGCATTGTTCTGTGCAGACTGGAAGACCTATAGAGGCCACACTGTTGTGAGCTTTTAGTCCAGCAAATGAATTCATCCCACCTATTTTGATCACCACTTCGTCCATTCTCTTCTGGGTTTTGCTGCTGAATCTGGTGAGACTCGATGTCGCCGGAGAGAGGGAAGCTGATGCCGTTGCCATCGTAGCTTATCCACTTTGTAATCGGAGTGATATAAGATACCAAGAAGGTACTTTGAGAGTGTAGAAGGAATTGAGCAAGAAACGATTCACCAAGGAGAAAACATAGGAGTGTTCAGATTAATTTTGCACACGTTGACTTATTCTCCCTAGAATTCGATCAAAATAAATCATCAACAGTAGAACGAATTAAAATATTTCATGAGTGATAAATTCTTCGTGATCTAACCCTTAAAAATTGTCAAGATTATAACTCCTAACGAATTTAAATTTACTGTTCATCCTTAATTATCACTTTGAGTTACCCCTTGTGACTTTTAAGATTTGGATAAATCTGGATAAAAAAATCTCAATCCAATTTAGACCCAAGAGTCAAATTCACTAATTCAAATTCAACCCGAATATCAATACAAATTGTGCAACCCTCTAAAATCCAAATTGTGTTTTCAAGATTGAGCTTGGATTGAAGTTTTATAACTTGGGTTGTGTTCAAGTTGAACTCTCAACTTTGCCCAACCCACATTAGTTGCACCTTTACTTGCCACAGAGCAAATTCCAAAGCAATCGACCCCCAAACAAACAAAAATCAGAGCAGTCATGCATCAGTGTAAATGATTTGTAACAAAACATAAAGGATATGATCATCATAATAACACTAACTACTTATCATTTACCTTTAAAAACATAAATTACTTGTCTACCAAGATGCTTTCTTGCCAAAAGATGCTAGTGCATATCCAAAATACAGTTCAAAAGTTTTCCAAATTGTGCATTCCGTCAGAAACCCAAGTTAACATTGAGACAACACACCTAATCGCAGCAGTCATGTACCAGTGAGCAGTACCCTTGTTTAGTTTTATCCTAGAATTTTTTCGATGGCTTTCCACGCCTCGAGGTGGGAGAGGTCACTTTAGTTGGTGGAATCACTTCCTCAACAACTCGAAAGATGCTAACATCCATGACAATGGTGTTGTTTGTTTCACCGGCAGGGTTAAACAGACACACATCGAATTCCTCCAAGAAGTTTTCAATGGCGAAATTCTTCCAACCACTGGTTAGTCCACAGCCACAAGCTCTTTGATATAATCTGACATGCCAAGTATTCTCTCTAACACGAAGAGTCACATCTTGAGTTTTGTCACGGAGATTGATAGTTGCCCATTCAGCAGGGATCGACTGCAATAAACAAGGTCAAGGACACAATGACTTCTGTTAAAATGAAGATACGTATGTTCAGCCAAAAATCAATTTTCCTCGTTGAGGTTAAAACTACTATGGCACATTTGCAATATATCCACATATGTAAGAAGCGGAGAAAAAAAGGAAAGAAATTCAATGGGAAAATTAAACATATAAATATATGGTGATAAACGTATTATTACCATAAAGAATCCCTTGTATACATGTGAGGGTCGCATAACAACTAAGAAACTGTCTTTGGTTGATGCTACTTTTGCCATTTGCAGGGCCTTTTCTTTCTCCTCTTCAGTTACAGGTCTTCTCTTGGATACATATTGCATGGGATAGACCCAAGTCCTGCTGCTTGATCTTTTTCTACCATCTAATTCACAAGTAATTTAACACAGAAATAAACGATTGCACACTCCAAACCAACAAGAAGAACAACATTTGTTATGTAATCAGATTTGAAATTGAACTGGCAACTAAATGTTAGTTTGGATGAAAAAGTACCAAGACAGCATAATTTAACCTAAAATAATTCCTCCATAGCGCAGAAATCAAAAACAAAACTTAAAAAGCTTACTTTTAGCATTCCTCCGATTTCTTCTACTGGCCCGGGAATCCTGCCCTGCTGAGGGTGATGGTGTCCATGTATCGTCCTTCCTAACTTTCTTTGATGGAGTATACCCAGCCGTATCATGTGAAGAGTCATCCGTAACTTCAAAACTGTCCATAATCATGTCTCTCTTTGTTCGGCATCCACTGTCAACTTCTGTATGCTCACATTTCCTGACAAAATATGAACCTTCCTTCTCACAAAAACTCAGTCGGGCAAACATTACAACATCAAAACGTGAGTCCCCATTGTATTTGAAGACCAACACATCATCTTCTTCTAGAGAATGATCTTCTACAAAAGCACTCCAACCATGTTTGAAGAGCAAGGTATCCCCACTACTTGCCAGTCCGACACTCCATGCAGTGCCACTTGGCCCTTTAAGAATCACAAAATCTGATAGTTTCTCTCTTAAATTGTTGACAAACTTTTTGGGGATAGCCTGAAAATATGTATCCAATCACACCTCAAATTATACTTTGAAGAACATAAAGACTCGCGATGCCAAGTTGCAGCAAAGGCAAGACAAGTGGAACTTAAATTGATAAAAACAAATCAACCCCTCCCCAAGAAAAAAAACAAGTAACCCTAATACGAGTATCAGCGACCAAAGAACAAGTCAAGCAAGAATTTTCTAAAAACACATATGTTCCTATAACAACCTTCAAAACTGAAAAGGAAGTCTTCTGTGGGGTTTCACGACCAGTATTGCTTATCAATCTGGGAATTTTTCGGATTATATAAATCGATTTGTAGATGCTGTTTCTCAAATAATTAGAAATTTTTTTCCCCAAGTTACCTTCTTCACATGCCATGACCAAATATCTAGTCTAAGCAGCAAAATCACATGCAGCAGATAGAGCACAAACGAAACATGCCATTGCTACTTCTTTGATCAATCAAACACTTCACATAAACAAAACAAATGTGCCATTTTGGGCCCTCAAGTATGGTGATCATGCTTTGTACACAGCAATGGGGTCCCCAATTGGTCAATTCATCGTTTTTGTATTGATTGTGCTGAGCTTATTCCATTTAATTCATTCAATCTTTAAGCAATGACATATGGTGACGACTCTACAATAAAACTATGCTTACCAATTTTGTTTATCAAATATTTTATCGAAATGATGCAGAACAATCTTTCATCCTTGCCTACTTATCTAATGGCTGCAAACGCGCCACATCATTTGCAATATAAAGTTGTTAAAAACATTTGATTAGTATAACATTACTCGATGACTTTAAATTCTCTAACTGTCCATCAATTAATAAAGACATGTACGCTTTAAAAAAGCATGGTAAAACAGACAAGTATAATGTGCTTAAATTTTTCATTCTCTTCACAAATAAAGAGGTCCAAAAATTACTAATTTTTAAAGGGTTGAGACAGAGACACAACTTACGAGTTGATTATAAAAATCTCCAGAAAGAAACTGAATGAACTGAACGGATTGGAAGTGGTTCCAGTACAAATCCTCCTCCCACTTCCTGCACTCCCTGCATTCGTCTCCCATCTTTATGCCAATCTACCTATCTCAAATCAAACAAACAAACAAACAAATAAAGCCAAAAAAGGGTATCAAAATAAGCAACAAGAGAGAGAGAGAGAGAGAGAGAGAGAGAGCTTGGACATGTTTCAGAAATCTGGATAAGAAAACACGAACAATCAAGTACCAACAGAAGATGAACCACTTCTAAAAACCAAGTATATATGAAAAAATTCTACTTATCACTTCTATCTCTGTTCCCCCCAAAAAAAAAAAAAAAACTCACTGCTATCTGAAAGGGTGAGATACTTTTGGCTCTGTAACAGTTCACTGTTATTACACCTCTTGATGAAGTCAGATTATTAATGAGAGAGACAGAGATACTTTTGGCTCTGTAACAGTTCACTGGTATTACACCTATTGATGAAGTCAGATTATAAATAAGAGAGAGAGAGATTACCCAAATCCCAAATCCAGGTGAGAGAGACAGAGAGAGATTACCCAAATCCCAAATCCAGCTATGAGCAATGGAAAACCCAGGTGGGATGTGAAAGGTAAAGCATTAAGGTGCAATGCATGTAGTGAATTGAGTTGAACCACAATTAGTAAGAAGGGACAGTTGGAGGCTGTTTGCTATTTCTTCCCGCCACTTGTCATTGTCAGTTATGATTGGTGTAGAAAATGTACAAGCACCTGATGTGTGCAAATTAATAATCCATTTTGTCATCTCCCTAACCTCCTCTTCACTTTTTAACCAAACTCCTTTACTAAGAAGTCCCCTGCCTCCTCACCTCCCTACTGCATTTAATTTGCTGAATAAATTTGTTTATAATTTACTGAATAAAATTGATACGAAATTATTTAGGTTACATTGAGTGAGGTCTGATAATATATGAGTGCACTTATTTTACTTATTCAATGAATAGGTTGATTGGAATTAATCTAATGCTCCGTTTGATCGGTAAGAAGGGAAAAAAAGTAGAAATGATATATTTTTCTTCCTATGTGTTTGATAGGATAGATAAAAAATAAAAATAATAATTTTTTTTTTTTACTGCCTAAAATTAAATGTGACAATCAAGTCATGTTGAATCAAGTTCGTGTTGAGTTATTATGGATATGTGTCGAACATTAGTCAAACTTAACTCTACTTATTTAACTAATTGTGTCATGACGAGTTGACATGTTTATTTTCGTGTCGTGTTCGTGTTTGTATTCGTGTTGGCCTACATAATCTTTAAATAAAAAATTTAATGCTAATATTCTATTTTCACTTAATAAAATTCATGTTCATATTTTTTCTACAAACTAAAAATTAACTTAAATAAATATGAAAAAATTTCAAACACACCCCCTCTAGTTTATCATATCTTCAAGGACACCCCTCTATTTTCTAAATCTTTAGTGACACTCTTGTCATATTAAAAATATTAACTAAAATACAATTTTATTAAATTGCTCATGATATATTTGAGGACAAATTTTATTCATACCCCCTCTAGATAAGCATATCTTTAATGAGACCCTCTCTAAATAAGTATATCTTCAATGAGACTCCCTCTGTTTTCTAATTTTTTTTTCGTATTAAAATTTGATTCAAGCTAATTAAAATTTATTTTTTTACACATTAAAATTTGAACTAATTAAAAATTATATTTTTTTATGTATTAAAATTTGGAGTAATTAAAATTTATTTGAGCCAATTAAAAATTATTTTTAATCGTCTCAAGTCAAATTTTAATCAATTTACATTGAATTTTAATTAATTCAAATTTTAATATATAAAAAAATATAAATTTTAATTGACTCAAATTTTAATAAATCAAATTTTAATTAACATAAATTTTAATAAGTAAAAAAATATAAATTTTAATCGACTCGAAAGAGAATTTTAATCGGCACTAACCACTTGGGTAGAGTTCAAATCGGCTCATATTTTGATATGTAAAAAATAAATTTTAATAGGCTCGAATTTTTTTTAAAAATTACGAATTAGTAAATAACAAATTAATATTTACTAAAAATTGTTATTTACGAATTTTTTTAAAAATTTTAACAGCTCGAATTTTAATAAAATTTTATGTAGAAAAATTACTTGAGGTATATGTAGGGGCATTTTTGGTATTTTAGATGAATTGTTTTTGTTAGAAATGGTAGTTTAATGATAGGGGTGTTAGTGATGTTTAAATTAAACTAGAAGGGGTATCAGTGATGTTTTTTATAATAAAATGGGTGTCCTTGAAGATATAGTAAATTAGGAGGGGTGTGACTGAAATTTTTTCAATAAATATAATAATAATAATAAGTAAAAATATTTTTTTATATAATAATTATGTTATTGCTCAATAAACATTTACAAATAATTAACATTTTATGTGTATAATACTAAATTAAACACTTTAGTTTCGTATTATCATACAAACGAGAAAACAGAAAAGTGTTTATTTTTAAATAAACAGGTTGACGGTGTCAATTTTGATTTTAATGGGTGGAACTGAATATAAACCGTTTATATTTTTTGTTCGCTTGTCAGCTCACTTTAAAGTTCGTATCATAAAATTCGTGTCGGGTTCGAATCGCGTCATCGTGTTGAGTCGAAAATTTTCACCCCTAGCTAAGATGGAAAAAAATATTTTTTTTACTTAAATTTTTATTTTTATTTTTTTAAAATTTTTTAATATATATATATATATATATCAAAAGATATATAGACAAATAAGATACATCTCAACACAAATAATTAACTTTTTCATCAACTTTTTTTTCAATTTTGGACGAATTGATTTTAGTAAGTTGGAAGAAAAGTTAATCCATCTACTTTTTCATCCTTCTTATTTTTCTTCCTTATCAAACATAATATTTTATTTATCCTTCTAACTTTGTATCCTTCGAACTTATCACTCATCTATTTTTTCATCATACCAAACGGAGCATAAACATTATATTAAACTTGCTAAAAATATCTTTTGAGTAACTTATACACGACACGAACATAGTTATATAATAATTATAAATAGGTTTTGTATAAATTGAATCTAATTTTGACACAACCTAATTTAAACACAGTATAGACCCGATAAACACCATAACTGGTTGCACTAAGGATTCTACTCTCAACAAGTATAACACTTTTCATTGAACCAAAATACCACTTATTTTCTTTTCAAAATTTTGCATGACATAAAAATTAGAAAAGTGATCGTCTATAGATTTATCCCTCGTGTGTGGAGAGATAATTTTGTAGAAGATTTAACATTAATTCAGTATGTGACCGGAGTAATACTACAATAATCTATTTGAACAAGTGATAATCTATTTAGTTATTAATTAATAATATTAAAATAAATAAATAAATATTTCCTATAAAATTAATAACTAATATGTCATGTAAGTGAATAACTTTCCACTCTTCTTCCATATAACTTTAAGTGAAATTCACTTTGTTCATTTAGAGTTTTATTATTGACCCGAAGGAGCCTAAAGATTCAACAAAACATTTAGGAAAAATTGCAATTTGTACCTTAAAAAATTTAAGAATTTTATTTTATAGTCCCAAAGATTAAATATTTTATATTACATCTTCAATTTATCAAAATTTTGCAATATAACAAACCGTTAACTTCTGTTACTCATTTTGTCAAGAGTAATGCTATGCAACCCAAATTTGGAATTCCAAATTAATAAAGGTAATTAGATTTCTAAGTCCCATTTAAAAAAAAACTAGCAATGCACGACGTACGTTGCAAACAAATATAAATAATATTTTTTTTATAAAAAACATAAATTATATGAGTAATTAAATTAAATAATAAATTAGTTGTCAAATAATTAATCCGTATTTTAATTATTACTAAATTTAATTATTAATTTATTCTATAAGTTTTTGAATAACTAATCTGTCATTTATTTATGTATCTCTCCGATCTTTTTAATTATTTGTCTATCTAATTATATTATAGAATTATTAATTTTTTTGTCAAAAAAATTTATTAGACCGCTTACAATATTATTATATTATAATATTATAGTATACTAAAAATATATTTGACTGTATAATTCAATATGACAACTACATATATATAATAATTTAATATATATAAGATTTTACTTCTTCATATAGATATAAGAAATTGTATTACTAATAAACGAGTTCAAAAGAATTTAAAAGTCCTTATAAAAAGAGTACAAAATAAGTTAAAAGTCAAATAGGAATAAAAAATAAAAATTAGATAAAAATATATATGTGAGTATAATTGATTTTATTATAATAATTAGAGATAAAATAAAAAATAAAAAATAAATTAATATATATAAGACTTTACTTCTTCATATAAATATAAAAAATTATATGTAATTATTACACTACTAATAAATAAATTTCAAAAGAATTTAAAAATCCTTACAAAAGAGTCCAAAATAAGTTGAAAGTTAAATAGGAGTAAAAAAAAATAATTAGATGAAAATATATAAATAGGTATAATTAACTTTATCATATTAATTAAGAGATAAAATCAAAAATGAAAAATTGTTCACAGATGTTAACATTTATAAATAGTATAGATTGATGACACTCACTCATCCAATAATCTCTGTTCATTTGAAATTTAAATTTAAGTTACACACCATTTTCTAAAGTGAAAAATCTAATCTTTGTAGCTAGAGAGTGAAATTTTTAAAATATTTCATGGTACAAAGTGCAATTCACCTAAACATTTTGCCCTATATTTCAGGCAACAGGTCTTTCCCTTTGCAAATCAGTTCTCTCTAATTCTTGCCATTGATCTTCCCCTTTGCGAGCACTGAAATAGTAAGGAACGACAATTAAAACCATAACCTGGACTTTCCCTGGGTGTGATCTGAATATGAAGGAAGTGAATTCCACGAATAGCTGCTTCTATAAACACGAAACAGTCTTGTGTCCTTACAAAACAGAATGAAAACTTGCCAGTACACACTGAGCCTCCTCAATGACCGTACCTCATTGAGGATTACGGCAAACACGGGGTTACGTTCAACATAGTCGAGTTTGGGTTTTACTCGTGGCAGAGAAATATTATAACTAGTGAAGAACAATTTTTTGGGTGAATTGCGTCACAAAGCTGTGTGGTGGGCACAGTCGATGAAAACTGTCACAACACTAGCTTGTCACCTACTGCAGGTAGGCTTTTTCGAAAGAAAAAAAAATATAACAAATACACGAGTGAGAACAGTTCATTGAGATTGTACAATAATTTATGCTATGTACACCAACTGGCTCTGCCATCTGGTGTATATAACACAAAAATCACCTAATAATGACAATGAAACAAATGGCATTTCCGAAAACTATACAAAACTATGAGGATTTGCCCAGCAACCTTAGAAAAGGTGCTTAAATTTCAACACTGACCAATCAGCCAACCTGGCCACACCTCTCCCATAACATAGAAAGAATGCCTGGGCACCATAGACAAAAAGAATACACTTGAATCTGCTGTGATTACTCAGATTCAGCTAATAAGAAAAATAACCAGGCAAGTTTCTCAAGTTCCACTGTCCACAAACAAACCCCCCTTTTCCCTCTTCCCTCAACAAAAAGAGGGTAGATTGATCGAAAGAAAGCTCAAATGCCAGGTGTTCCGGAACCCATGCTTGAGTTTTAAATGATAACAGTAATGATCTGTCTCCACAATATTTCCACAAAAAAACATTCAAATTTCTCCATTGGAGAAGTCAGAACCATCTTGTTGAAAGAAAACCAACCCAACCTCTCATCTGCACAAAGCTCAAAGTTCTTAGCTACAAAATCGCTTATATTTCCAGGTGCTTTATGAATGCTTAAAAAAAGCTGATATCTGTTCCTGTGTGTGCGCTAGAATACATATATCACATAAAAGTTTCAAACAGATTCGAACAAAAAGCTGGGATGAATTTCATGCACAAAAGTAGTTGACCACATTTCAACAGGTAATTAAAATTCTCAATGATACTACAAACAGAAAGTTGTACAGCACAAAGCTTAAAAGATGATATATACCATAGAAACAACAGATACAAGGATTGCACCCAACCTGATCAGAAGTTTTAGTCACCCCCTTCACCACTTCGTTCATAATACTTAGGCTGATAAAGATCTGGTATTGCATTAAGCTCGAGTAAGCAAAAGCTGCCCTTATCGTACAAAAGAGCCCACTCTGCATATGAACATTCCTAGTTACCATGACAAAATTGACTACCAGCAGAAAACTAATAAACATACACCCACATGCAAAAGCACAAGCCAAAAAACCTACAGATATAAATCTGAAAACTGCAGTCAATGATGAGGCAGTGAAAGGCAAATCACTGGTAAAAAAATGATTCCACTTCAGGTTAGGATTAAAGCATGCATGAGGGGAAGAGGCAGTCAGGTACACAACTGAGGACGTATTAAATCGTCAAAATAGAAATCTTGTAATATTAAAACATTTGCCTTATGCTAACACATTCACTTCTGAGCTCACACCCCTAAACACCTAAAAAAAGACTCCTGATCTGTCCATATCATGCCTATTCTATTACGCTGGATTATCTTCAAAATCTCCACTCCTTTTGGTTCCACCCCATTGGAGCCAGATACCATAGGGCATTCATATATCATAATCACACAAAGTAACCACATTAAGAGGGCATTGCCAATATGGGCACCTAACAGATACTGCCGCTAATTTTGTCAACAACAGCCTTAGGAAAGTGAGATCATACAATCACAAAGACCACTAAAATTTGATCCACAATCCAACAGTGACAATCATAGCACATTTCCACAGCCACACCCTTGTAAAACCTCAAAGGTGAAAAAATAAGCATCCATTGAATCATAACAAGAGCTCAACAACACGAGTTCAGTTACTCCATATAAAAATTTCAGAATGAAGCATCATCTGTAACAAGCAATAAAAATGAGACAGAAAAAAAGGAAAAGAAACAAATATAATTAAAATTGAAGAAAATAATTTCCGGGAGGGTATAGAGAATTTTGATGTATACAAACCATGGTGTTGTGCATATGTCATAGGAATACACTATAATTTACCCTTACGCAGATGACATGAACCTGATAAACCTAAAACATAAAAGGATCCAACTGAAATGAAGCATAGGGTTGGCCTATAGTAATGCTCACCACAATATTTCCAGTCTAGGTAGATCTTTCTCATGCATCTCACAGCGAAGCATGATTGCCTGGAAAAGAGCCAGCAGCTAATTCATTAGAAGCTGCTTCTAGCCCTTTCTTTCCAAGGCCAGATATGTGCACTCTCATTGTACATTTGCCAACAAGCTCAAATATGCATATATCTCCCATCTGGAGGTCATTATCACGAACAAATGCCATCCACCCTCCACAGAAAGTATGTAATGTTTGCACTCTTTGACTTGGAATCGAATTGACAGTCCAACTCTCTCCTTTTAAATTGCGAAGGACAATCTCTGTCTTGCAGTTTGGGAGGTGTTCCATAGAAAACTGATATGGGATTTTCTGCATAATACAAAGAAGGAATTAATCAGTAATGAATTTTGATCGACGCAATTTGTTGAAAAACAAGAAATTCTGTGAGCATGTTGAGTACAAGGATGTTTAAAACCCTCAAGTGGCCCAAGCGGGGAGTGCCACCAGGAAGCAGCTGCATTCCCGACTACTTACCATCACTGCATCTCAACCAGGCTCTGAGAACGACAATTCAGGCTATTCGGCCCATCACAGGGGCCTTCTAGTTCCAAATAGCAGAATGCTCCAGCAGTAAACTAACTCCTCAAGGCAGTGAGTTTTTTTTTTTCTTTTAGAAGCCTTGAATGAAAATGTTTAGTCAACAACAAAAATTCATTATTAAATACATATAATGATATAACCTACATTCAGTTTAAACGTCAAAACCATTTCATTCTATAACAATAATAGTTTTTGGAGAAACTCCAGAAAAATTAGCTTTTAGCAGCAAAAAGATATATCCATTCCAGATAAACAGCAATCGAGATAAGAGCAATTACAATTACAGAAGACAATATTCTCATGCACATATCACAAAGAAAGTGGCCCATCTCACCCTCAAGTCAACTAAGGCCAATTACCCTGACTGCCAGGGCATAAGAAGCTTATGCCTGGGATTCATAGCATGTTAATTCCAAAGAAAACGTGCATGAGGATGCCTTCATGTCCATAGAGGTGTGTAGATGTCAACAAAGCAGCCCATGTCATAAGCTTTCTTTGGGTTTGAGTGTCAAAGAGGAAGAGTCTGTTGATGCGCCACAAAAATGTGCCCCCTGCTAATATGGCACCTACTTGTACTTCCTTTAAAGCCATAATGTAATTTGTATTTTCAGTTCTTTATGCGTTTATAGCACCACTCAAATTTCTATGCAGAAGTATGGTGCTGGTAGATCTTATGAGAATTGTGAAGAAAAATAGAAAAGGACCATGTATCTTATATGAATAAAAAGGTTTCAAAATCAGGAAGAAAAATAAAGAGGAAGCCCTCACCAGAGTGTATGAACCGCCGATGTTGAATTTTTTCATAATTCTCACAAAATGAGGAAACTTTGAAATAAAAGACTCAGCAGCAATTTTTTCTTCTGGTGCCGATTTCATTGACATACAACCCTTAGCATGAGAAGTCTGTTTGTCTTGTGAGCTGTTTTTCTTCTGGGGCACTGTTCAAGTTTCAGAAGTTCATTCGAGGAAATGCAAGTTGTAGAAGGAGTCATGATAAAAGAAGTTGCTTTGGTTGACCATAATTCAAGTCATACCTGATTTTCGTTTGCAAGCCTTTGATACAGAGCTCTTTAATGCACTAATATGTTTCACTTTGCCTGTTGAGAATGCAGCTTCTTGACTTCTTTTACTTATTGTTAACTCTTTATGATCAGATACTTTTGTTTCAGATAAGTCAGTCTTAGTTATTCGCTGTAAAGATACTTTACGAGAATTTTTCGCTCTCATGTTCTTTGGCAATTGTGCAGAAGCTTTATGAGCTGTCTTACCACTTTTACAATCCAGCCCTTCCTTTCCAACCCTGAGAATCTGCACACGCAGTTCACACTTGCGCAGTAGTTCAAATATGCAGATATCTCCCATTTTAAGGTTATTATCCCGAACAAAGCCCAACCACCCTCCACAGAAAGTATGTGATGTTTGCACTCTTGTAGTCGGGATAGAATTAACAGTCCAACTTTCTCCTTTTGAATTACGGAGAACAATCTTTACTTTGCATTTCGGAAGGTGTGCCATAGAAAACTGATACGGGATGTTCTGCATGATACAAATAAGTTAATCATTGACAATTTATACCAGATCACATACACAATTTGTAGAGCGAAAAGCAGATCACTGTAAGCCATTATTAGGTTGAATGGGAAAAAAATGCTGTGGATAAACCTAATAAGACTATCGTTCCTAAAAGCCAGCACCACCTCACAAATATTATTGTCAAACAACATAGGTTTCATTAGTACTTCAATATGGATGTAGACAATAGATGAATTGGAGACTTCAATGAGCAGCAGTGAACTCAGCAGAAATGCATCAGATGCCAGCTTTTAAGGCCTCAGGGCGCAAAGAACTGATAAACCAAGTGAACCAAACAACATCACACAATCAACCCCTCAGATGTAAAATTTTGTTCTGGTGATTTACAACAGAAATAAGTAAACACAAGAATCATTTGATCCAAACACATGAAACTGTTCTTATCAAACTCAAAATGAGGGGAATAAGGGAACTACTCACCAGAGTGTATGAACCACTTATGTTGAACATTTTCATAACCTTTATAAAATTAGGGAAACAGGAAGCAAATGATCGAGCTACTTTGTCTGCTTCAGCAGCCGACATCAGTGTATCTTCTTTGCTGGTCCAATGATTAATATTTGCCCCTGCTATTTATTAGTACAGTTGAGTTACGAATTGTAAGGCGTGTGAAAGTCATGTAAATCAAACTTCATTGAGATGATTTCATNACTAATATGTTTCACTTTGCCTGTTGAGAATGCAGCTTCTTGACTTCTTTTACTTATTGTTAACTCTTTATGATCAGATACTTTTGTTTCAGATAAGTCAGTCTTAGTTATTCGCTGTAAAGATACTTTACGAGAATTTTTCGCTCTCATGTTCTTTGGCAATTGTGCAGAAGCTTTATGAGCTGTCTTACCACTTTTACAATCCAGCCCTTCCTTTCCAACCCTGAGAATCTGCACACGCAGTTCACACTTGCGCAGTAGTTCAAATATGCAGATATCTCCCATTTTAAGGTTATTATCCCGAACAAAGCCCAACCACCCTCCACAGAAAGTATGTGATGTTTGCACTCTTGTAGTCGGGATAGAATTAACAGTCCAACTTTCTCCTTTTGAATTACGGAGAACAATCTTTACTTTGCATTTCGGAAGGTGTGCCATAGAAAACTGATACGGGATGTTCTGCATGATACAAATAAGTTAATCATTGACAATTTATACCAGATCACATACACAATTTGTAGAGCGAAAAGCAGATCACTGTAAGCCATTATTAGGTTGAATGGGAAAAAAATGCTGTGGATAAACCTAATAAGACTATCGTTCCTAAAAGCCAGCACCACCTCACAAATATTATTGTCAAACAACATAGGTTTCATTAGTACTTCAATATGGATGTAGACAATAGATGAATTGGAGACTTCAATGAGCAGCAGTGAACTCAGCAGAAATGCATCAGATGCCAGCTTTTAAGGCCTCAGGGCGCAAAGAACTGATAAACCAAGTGAACCAAACAACATCACACAATCAACCCCTCAGATGTAAAATTTTGTTCTGGTGATTTACAACAGAAATAAGTAAACACAAGAATCATTTGATCCAAACACATGAAACTGTTCTTATCAAACTCAAAATGAGGGGAATAAGGGAACTACTCACCAGAGTGTATGAACCACTTATGTTGAACATTTTCATAACCTTTATAAAATTAGGGAAACAGGAAGCAAATGATCGAGCTACTTTGTCTGCTTCAGCAGCCGACATCAGTGTATCTTCTTTGCTGGTCCAATGATTAATATTTGCCCCTGCTATTTATTAGTACAGTTGAGTTACGAATTGTAAGGCGTGTGAAAGTCATGTAAATCAAACTTCATTGAGATGATTTCATTTACCACAAGCAAGAATATATGGACAATTATATATATATATATATATATATATATAAGTTTCCTTATGGATACCTACGTCATTGCATTTCATTCATAACTGGACCTGCCTTTTACACATCTTCCATAATTTAAGACCACATGAACAACAGAAATAGATAAACCATGTGTTTGTGTACACTATGTATAAACATAATATGCACACCTGAATCAACTGTAATTCTTGGTTCTGACAAGAAATAGTTAGCCACTGTTGAACTCATTTGCAAGCAGTTGGTAATAGTAGATAATAAAACAAGTATCGAATGCTTAGAGAACTGAAAGGAAGCAAATTCTTATACGCAGATCCCAAGTGATAAAAGTCAGCAATGTCACCTGAATTCTCACTCAGAACTTGTGACTGAGATGGCACAGCAAGGGTGACGAAATTCTTCAACGGGCTACTGCAACTCTCAGTTGCATTCAAAATGCTGGCTGTTTGACATCTTTCACCCATGGATCCTACTTCTTCAAGCAGGTGTCCTTGCTTTTCAGTTATTTCCATAGTGGCTTCCTGGTTCTTGGTCGTGCATTCAAAATGAACTTCAGAACTTCTCATTTTCTTAGGAATACCTTCGACAATGTTATCCACTAAAGCTGTGTTTTCCCTTTCCCTCCTCTTTCCAGTTTGATTATCACATTCGCCCTGATCTTGACTGCATTTGGCAATAAATGCTTCTTCCTTTTCACATGAATTTAGATCAAAAACTTGCACTGTGAATTTCAAATTACCATCATGTCTGAAAACCAAAGAGTCACCGCATTCTAGGAAGTGATCTCTCACAAATGCCGACCAGCCATCATGGAAAAATAAACCATCAGCATGCTGAATCAACTCCGTATGCCAAGTATTCCCACTAGGACCTACTAGTGAAGCTGTTCCAAATGTCTTTCCTTCCATATGTTTAATAAATTTAGATGGAATTTTCTGCCACAAAGATAAAACTCAAAATCAAGCCATTTTGTCACAGTGCAATAAAGGTCCACCAAGGCAACTAGAAGAGAGACTAAATTCATCTAATGGAAATAGTGATCAATTTCCTCTTTTTTTATTTTTCAGTGTCTACCAAACATACATAGTGGTGCTATTGTGATTTGTGAGCTTTCTATTGGTTCTGTGCAGTCTTGCTTAAAAAGAAAATAGCATATTATTTTTGTTGAGCCTATATATAGGTATGATCCTCTTACCATCCACGAAACATGGATACTTCATTGAGGTCGGCGTACCCTTACCAGTCCTACGTATCCGATAATAATAAAATATTTAAATACTTCACGGATACTTTGTTATTTGACCAACATAAATAATTTTTGAATTTAATTTTAATATCTCCTTTCGAATTCACATACCATACGATAGATTAACAACAATTCATACTAGTTTAGAGACATATTAGTATTTCTTTTTCTTTTTTTAAAAATATTTTCTACTATTACATCACAAAATAGTGTAAAATGAATTTATTACATTATAATCTTAGAAACAAATACTTCTAAACAAACCAACTAAGTAAATATTAGTTTTGATTCTTTTAATTAGAATCACTTCAATTTATAAATATTTCATAATATTATACTTCTTCGAAACTAGAAAAAAAATTGCTAATTTTCCTTATTAAGTTAAAGAATTATCAAAATATATAATTATTAAGTCAGTAGATAATATAGTAAAACTATGAAATATATTTTAATATAAACGTATCTTAACCGTATTCATATCCTATTTTTTTTTATAATTTTCTATATTGTATCGTACCCGTATTCCGTATTTCTATCTTCACTTCATAGCTTACCATCAAGTAGCATTAGAGATAATGCGAGGTAGCATTAGAGAGAGGCAGAGAGGTGGGTCTGGAAGAGGAAAAAAATGATGAAGTTGAATATGGTAGTATAATTGTGCATTTGTGTTATATTATTTGTGGTGGGAGTATCTTGTTCATGTCTTGTTCGTGTGTTGGGTTTTTGTGGCTAATAAATCCAAAGGTAATCCCTTGGGTTCCAACAACACTACAAACCATTTTTTTTATGTTTATCCTGATCTTAAAGAGTATGGTTGTGTTTTGCTTCTTTTGGTCAACTATCGAAGATAATCTTTGTAATATTTCATCAAGGAAATGAAATAACTATGACGCATGGTTACAGCTACAGCTTCTTTTGGCCAGCTATCCAAGATAATCTTGTAATACTTTATCAAGGAAATGAAACGACTATGAACCACGGATACGGATACGGATAAAAGAAACAAAACATAAATAAAAATGGTTTGTGGTGTTGTTGGAACCTAAGTGATTCCCTTTGGATTCAGTAACCCAAAAAACCAAAGATACTCCCACCACAGATGACGTCACACAAATGCACAACCATAGTATCTTATTCAGCTTCACCATTTTTTTTCCCCTCTTCAAGACCCACCTCTCTCTCTTCCCCTCTCTCTAATGCTACCCCCCCCTCTCTATCTCTCTAATGCTACTTGATGATAAGAGTATCATACCTATATATAGGCTCAACAAAATAAATTACTATTTTCTTTTTATAAGCAAGACTGCAGAGAACCCATATAANTACTTTGTTATTTGACCAACATAAATAATTTTTGAATTTAATTTTAATATCTCCTTTCGAATTCACATACCATACGATAGATTAACAACAATTCATACTAGTTTAGAGACATATTAGTATTTCTTTTTCTTTTTTTAAAAATATTTTCTACTATTACATCACAAAATAGTGTAAAATGAATTTATTACATTATAATCTTAGAAACAAATACTTCTAAACAAACCAACTAAGTAAATATTAGTTTTGATTCTTTTAATTAGAATCACTTCAATTTATAAATATTTCATAATATTATACTTCTTCGAAACTAGAAAAAAAATTGCTAATTTTCCTTATTAAGTTAAAGAATTATCAAAATATATAATTATTAAGTCAGTAGATAATATAGTAAAACTATGAAATATATTTTAATATAAACGTATCTTAACCGTATTCATATCCTATTTTTTTTTATAATTTTCTATATTGTATCGTACCCGTATTCCGTATTTCTATCTTCACTTCATAGCTTACCATCAAGTAGCATTAGAGATAATGCGAGGTAGCATTAGAGAGAGGCAGAGAGGTGGGTCTGGAAGAGGAAAAAAATGATGAAGTTGAATATGGTAGTATAATTGTGCATTTGTGTTATATTATTTGTGGTGGGAGTATCTTGTTCATGTCTTGTTCGTGTGTTGGGTTTTTGTGGCTAATAAATCCAAAGGTAATCCCTTGGGTTCCAACAACACTACAAACCATTTTTTTTATGTTTATCCTGATCTTAAAGAGTATGGTTGTGTTTTGCTTCTTTTGGTCAACTATCGAAGATAATCTTTGTAATATTTCATCAAGGAAATGAAATAACTATGACGCATGGTTACAGCTACAGCTTCTTTTGGCCAGCTATCCAAGATAATCTTGTAATACTTTATCAAGGAAATGAAACGACTATGAACCACGGATACGGATACGGATAAAAGAAACAAAACATAAATAAAAATGGTTTGTGGTGTTGTTGGAACCTAAGTGATTCCCTTTGGATTCAGTAACCCAAAAAACCAAAGATACTCCCACCACAGATGACGTCACACAAATGCACAACCATAGTATCTTATTCAGCTTCACCATTTTTTTTCCCCTCTTCAAGACCCACCTCTCTCTCTTCCCCTCTCTCTAATGCTACCCCCCCCTCTCTATCTCTCTAATGCTACTTGATGATAAGAGTATCATACCTATATATAGGCTCAACAAAATAAATTACTATTTTCTTTTTATAAGCAAGACTGCAGAGAACCCATATAAGCTCACAATAGCACCACTACGTACTGTTCACTGTTCAGTACACTGAAAAAAAAAAGAGAGGAAATGAATCACTATTTTCATATGATATTACACTAATATTAATACTCAAGATCAGTACTCAGTAGACTGATTTGCACAAACCTATTGAAACCACAATCTGCAGAGCATTTTCTAACAGTTTGAGTGTAGCAACTAATGTTGCTTCCTTATAAACGGGCTGCAGAATATATCCCAAATATTTCATTCACAATCAATTCTGGCACCTTTATTTCCTCTACAAATCCAATTTGCACCCAAATGCAAAAACTGACAGCCCTCAACAACAACTAGTTACAAAATACAACTATTAATTCAAGATCTTTTGGTACTTCTTTAACATATCCATGCATAAATATGAGGCATTATTGTACTAGCACCACACATGTTCATTTATACAAATACATACACCAATATATCATCCACGAATGTATATGACATATATATCTATAAGAAAGTTACCAATCTTTCAGAGCTTGAAGAAGGGTCAAAAGGACCCTCGAGAAAGTACGGCCTTCTTTCACTCGACATCTTCTCCAATGATTCTATCTCCTTTTCAACTGGTGTTTGCTGAAACCCTAACAATAGCCCGAGAAATATTCATCACCATTTTCCCTCGGTAAAATCACATTCACAAAATTTAGGTCAGCAAAAGAGTACTGATTCTTCAAAGGATGTTCAAAATTACCAACAAAATCTGACAGGGTTAGTAAACTGAATGGGGAGGGAGAGGGAGAGGGAGCAGTAACTTTCGTTGTGATACTCGCTGTGTGACAATTCACTGGCTTTAAACCGCGCAGGAAAGGTAGGGGCAGAGTGGCTGATTTAGAGTACAAGATTAGGATATGATTTGACTCGTGATTTTCACGAGATAGGGTAGATCTGGCCACGTATGGATCGTGAAACCACGAGCGTTGAAAGCGCGTCAGTTCTGCATCGACAGGACTCTAGACGGGTGTAATGTAAGAGATCTAATCTACTGGGTAGTTGGACCCCAACTGGTTATATTTGCAATTATGAGTATCAATGGGGTTATTTTTATTTATTTATTTATTTTTAATGTATCGTGTTATTCCATATTGTTTTGATTTTGATACATGTCATTAAGATTAATAATTGAATGAGCTTGAATCGAATTTAATAAATTTATTTTTTAAATAAATTTAAAATGTTATTTAAGTTCAACTCCGATCGAGTTTGAAAAAATAAAAAACGAGTTAAATTTAAGTATTTATACATAAAAAAATCGAGTTTATCGAGTTCCAATTGAGTCTGACGAATTTATTTTATAAACGAGCCGAAAACAAGTCAAACCCGAGTCAAGCTTGAATAACTTAATTTGATCATCAACCCTAGGCGTTGTGTTCGTATTAATATTCGAATCAATTAAAAACTATTTAATTTTATAACAACTCATATAATACTATTTTAAAAAATTAAAAATATATAAAATAATCATTTTTTGTCTTCAATACCCATTAAATACCTATCTTTGCCTAAAATATATATTAATCGTATTATTCATATCTAATCTTAATCTGACCAATTTATTTTACATGTCAACTAATCAAGTCATTCTCAAATTTTGTTTCAAGTCAAGTTCGTGTTGGATTCGAGTTCATAAATAAAATTGACCCCCTTATCTCCGATTCTTACTCAAATTTGACCTAAAAATTATTGTCAATATTTGACTCAAACATATACCAAACTATCGTAAACCCTCTTTTGACCCAAATTAAAAAGCATCAAACCCTTTACTCAATTCCCAACGGTCATATTTTGAGAGAAGACCAAACTGTTTTCTCTCTGCCTTAGTATCGTGACAGACCTATTGCTTTCCAAATTTGCCTTTTTCTCGTCACTACGTCAGCTACCACCACAGGCCATGAAAGCTGTGAAGAGAAATAGTGTTCATCACCTTCTATAAACTAAGTTTCAGGGAACACAAATAAATCTTTCAATGCAGATGACTACCACATAAAAGACCCAGAAAAATGAAAAAAGAAGGAAAAAAAAAGAAAAGAAAGCTGAGGTGAGCAGCAATAGAATAGTAGGCAGGTTGTTCCACAAGCAAAGGAGAGAATTTCCCTTCTGATGAGATCTATTGCCTGTGGTACTACTAGATCAACAACCAAACCACCTATTGTAGCAACCTAGCATGCCGACACTCAAACAATCACTTGCATGAGTTAGCCGCAAGGCACCAAGAGCCTGGGAGTGAGGTACTAACCCTAAAACAATAGTCAAAAAACGATAGAAGGGCCCTGCTCGAGAGAAACAAAAACAAGAAGCAAGCAATTAGAATTTCTATCATTAGCAAAACCCAGTTTTGGAATAATGGCGATTGACTCTGGATAAAACCATGACTGCCGCAAGGTGAAGGGTAGATTCACTGGCAGAGTAGGCTAGAATTGTCTGCAAAAACTCTTATTACTCAAAACAAACACAAAATTAAAGGAGGAAAGTATAAGATGTGCCGATGATAACCTAAATTGGCGCCCGAAAGATCTGTACATCCATCAGGACAGTGCCGAATTTTCTAGTAGTGTCAATGAGCTCAAAAATGCAGACATCTCCTTTCTTTAACTTGTTGGATGCATAAAATGAGCTCCAACCGCGTCCCATTGTCAGGCGTCTAGAGTTTCTTGCATACACATGCCGGTGATTGAGCTTCACTGGCCAAGACTTTCCCGAAGGATCTCTGAGAGTAAGGCTGTTTCTCTGAACAAGGTCATTTGATCTCACAAAATCTGCAGGGACAGTCTGTTTTAATAGATGCAAGGAAACAAACAAACATTACTTGTGATGCTATCAAGAGAGAAATATCAGAGGAAGAAATTAGTTGGGCGAATGAAGAAAAGCAGCACATGGTTCAGGAAACCTAATGCAAACATCAGAGTTGGAAACAAAAGCTGCTGTCAGAATCTTACTAGTAAAATTGTAGGTAAAAAACCCTGACTAGCAACTTACATCAGCAACGATTGATCATAAAACGATCCAGAGGATGTTAATTTAATTATGTTAAAGACAAAGAGACTTTACAGACAGCATAACGCTGGTGCAATCCTCGCCTCAGCATAAATGAGGACTTCTAACTCTTAACCTTATCAACATGTGACTACAGCTGGTGTTCATACTGCTTTTTACCAAACATGAATTCAACTCGATAATGATGACATTTCAGGTGAGGGAAGGAGCTGTAAACTCACCAGATTACCACGGATCCCAGACGAATGAATTGTTGTTTCGAAATAAGGATTCCTCTGGGAATCAGATGCAGCTTTCTCAAGTGGATTTACTCCTGGAGAATGTTCAATGGAACATGAACCCAACTTTGGAAACAAAGAAAGGAATAACAGCCCAACAACAACAAGAACAACATCAACAACACTGCACAGCGCGAAAAAAGAAGAGATTTTTTTCCAAAGCTAAATCTTTTTCAATGGAATGGAAAATATTTCCTTTGTAAATCAGCGCTGCTAAAGTTGGGCAACATTCGCAGTTTAATTTAGTTTTCACAATTCTGTTATAACCCTTTTCATGATTCCATCATAACCCTTCCTTGGCATATTTTTATGTAATGTACACATAGAAAGCAATTACGAAAATTATTAATGGTGAAACACTCAGATCAAACATAAGATCAGTGCATTTAATGTTACAGCCTTACATCCAGGTGTTACTGGATTAAAGACTTGTCAAGGATTTTAGTTCAGGGCTGCTATGCCCTTAGTTTGTACAAGCAGGCTTATCGATGAACCAGCAACTCACCCTGTCAAATTCACTTTAATATCAGATATGAAAAACATGCTTATAACCAAGAGAATCAGTGAGGTCACATGAATCATGAAATAACAGTATAACTGAAAAACAGGCAAAGCTATCAACTAATATGAATTGAACCCTTAATCCCCTATGTTAGTTCTTTCACTGTACGATACTGCATTTGTTAAGCCAAAGCTGTTATATCACAGTTGTAAAAGCCTGTTATGGAATCCAAAACATAGGGGAAATCATTAAGACAGGGTTTGATTCCAATCGTAATCAATTAAACTGCATTTAAGTTATGAGGGATCATTCTGTAGAACTTACTGTTATCTTGCTTGGTGTGTTTCTGGATGTTTACCCTAACAGGTGCAATCTTCTCATCTTCATCCAACCCGTTAGGAAATTCTTTTTCACACGCACTAGGACCAAAAATGAGTACCTCAAAATGCATAAGCCCCTTGTGTTGGAACACAAGGAAATCTGCAATGTTTAGGTCATGGTGCTGCACAAATTCACTCCAACCCTCTTCAAAATATATATTGCCCTCATCGCATACGCCAATTCCAACATGCCATGACCCCTTTCGACTCATTATAATTGCTTCCTTTGATTTCTCTTTGTTAAGCAGCCCACTGAAGGCTCGTGGTATAGACTGTCCATACGCAAAATACAGAACGACATGGTTAGGCTCATCAAAAAACTTCAAATTCACTGTGCTCTCTATGTACAGTTGATCATGTTCCGTAAGCTGCAGTGAATTTAGTGAGACTGGCCCTCCACCCCAGTATACCCAACTAACAGAGTAAGTGCAGCAAGATGAAGCATCACACTTTCTATAACAATTTACTTAACATTCCCAGAAATTATCCAAGAAAGCTAACTTACAGAGACTAAATCCAACAGAATTCAAAAGGGTCCATGCTTATTTCAAGAATCATATACAAATTGTAAACAATATGATCAAGAGAGAGAGAGAGATGGCATACAAGTGTTTTGCGAAAACCAGGCATCATCACCTTGAAGAAGTGCGTGGCCGTTGGACGCTCCACTTCCATCCAAGAAGAATTCATTGTGAATTCCAAAAAATTCAATTGCAATTTCTTCCGATGACCCAATTGTGATATAGCTTGATAATCCAGTAAAGAAGGAGTAATCAAGATTCTAAGGGCAATCCTACAAAGCCTTTTTTTTTTTTATTAACTTTCAAGCAATCAATTAAACCGCGAAAATAGCGCAGTTTTATTGGGGTTGTATCAGGTAAATCTCATTTCCATATTGGGGCTCTGCGATCTTGAAGAATGACGAAAGGGGTAGGGTTAGATGTCGGTTATGCTTTTCTTAAAATAGGCAAAAATTAAATAAGGTACCTCAAATAGTAACACGTTGAGCTGAATACGAATCTCAATAATTTTTTAATTTTAACTTTAAATTTTTTTTTTAGTTTTTTTTTAAATTTAATTTTTTTTTTGCATGATAATTTTTTTTATCATGCAGAGAAAAAGATTTATTTTTATAAATATTTTAATTTTAACATGAATAACTTACGTTTGATCGGACTAAAGAATGATTAGTCTGTGTATGAACTAATTTGGATATTTCAGATCGTTGAATTAAAAAAAAGCAAAAATTGAACTCATCCTAAATAAAACCAAAATAATTATATTTGAAATTCATTTCTTTTATTCTGAAAATAAGTTTATGGCTCAATATTCTCTTCTTTACTTTTTTTTTCAATTTTATTTATGTAAAATCAGTTACAATTAAATAAGTGAGACTTACTATCCATAAAATTGTATCATCGCTCGTATACGGTACCATTGGATGAAATTAGTTGAGAAGAGCAATATTATATGATTTTAAAAAATAAATTTGATAATTATAATCATTGATTTTACTATATGTCCCAGTATTTATTGAAATTCATTACTTATTTAATAATTGTGATTATCAAATCTACTGCTTTTAAATTCATGCAACATTACTCTAACTGAAAGTTTATTAGATACATTTGGATGCGATTTTCCATAACTTTGAGCTTTATCTCAAATTGAATTTAGATTTAGTTTGACCAATGCTTACCTCAATCCAATTAAGACTAGGGCCTCTAGCAAAGAAGTATTAAGTAATGCTGGAGAAGTGCATTTAGGATAGGGTTAATCGTAATTTGTAATTCAAAAAAACGTTTGAATTTTAATTTATACCTTCAAAATTTAAAAATATTAATATGCATCTTAAAAAATATAAATTTGTATCAATGTGTACCTAGAATTAACTGTCGTCCATTTTATCGTTAAAAAAGTTTGGACTAATTATAAATTACACCCTCAAAATTTAAATATTTCACATTTATGATTCAAAAAAAAATTATATCTATTAATACTCATTAAATAGTTCTTAATTATGTCGTGTTGTGTTAAACTTTATATAGAAAATAGCTATTTTATGAGTATTGTAGGCAAACAATTGGTATTTTAATTTTTTTAAATAGTATTATATAAATTATTGTAAAAGTGAAATATACAACATAATGCAATTTACTCGACAAGAAAATAACGAATATTAATGGATGAAATTTTTTTTTGGATCATAAATATAAAATATTTAAATTTGAAGGTACAATTTTCAATTAATTTAAACGTTTTTAATGGCAAAATGAATGATAGTTAACCCCTGGTGCATATTAATATAAATTTATGTCTTTTAGGGTATAAGTTGATATTTTTAAATTTTAAAGGTGCAAATTAAAATTTGAATTATCTTTCGGGGTGCATTTTGAGATTAGCCCTAAAGGTTATACAAATTTTAAGTTTGGCCTACTCTAACTCGTACTATCAAATTGATTTACTGGACAAACAAATTTTTTTTTTTTTTTGTATAATTCTTTTTCGTAGAAGTTAAAACATTAAATTTCAAAGGCAGAAGGTACTATTTTAGCCTTGCATCAAGAAGCAAGAATGAATTTGGTGCCTATTATGACTATAATCGAGCCGAGTTACTTGGACTTAGTTTGGATTTGACTCAAATAAGACTCGACTCGACTCAAGCTCTAACGAGTCGAGCTCAAACAATTTTTTAAGCTTATTTAAAAAAAACAATTACAGATCACCATGGGGCAGGTGTTCCCAAAGTGAGAGAGCATTGCATTTTATTTAATAGGATTTGAAGGATTAAGTTGGGTTAGAGAGCTGGGCAGAAGGACCTGTGCTTTAAGTACAGATCAGAATTCAAAATCTCTGACTGCATCAACTTCTAATACTCTCAAACTGAATTGGGTTATTCTCTTAGCACAAGTTTATTTCATAGGTAAGATAGTTGAACACCATTTAGGAAAAGGAAGACATGAGAAACTGGTTTTCTAACAAGCATTTAATGAATTTAAAAGCTCATTTCACTGAGAAAAAGACCCTTTAGCATTTTTCTTTTGTCTGTTCATCGATTCCAAAACACGCCTTCAAAAGTCGAAATGAAAACTTGTTGCCTGGGGGCAGCATCCTAGTGTGAATTAGTGTTTGTTTAAATGTCAATCCAAGCAAAAACCCCTTGGAGTTAGCTGGGGTTTAAGCAAGTTCTTATTGCCCATGAAGCTTCAAATCATCCCAAACAGACACGTTACTGGATACACATAAGCAGCAGCAAGATTAACCATTTGTTAGGTTCTTGGGTGCACCTTAACACCATTACTGACATGAACAAGGGTTGGTGTTTCAGAAAACTACGTTGCAACTTGGCAAAAGAGCATACAAAAACTTCCAACGATGAACAATTGTTTGATTTCACAATGTCCTCAATGATATAATCGATAGAGAGTAGCATCAACAATAGCATACACAGTGCAAAAAATATCGTTGAATTACCAATGCCAGTATAAATCGGGCTAAAGAGTGAAGATTACTTAGGCTGATAGGGAAAAATTTGTACATCCATCATGAAAGTACCCGAACTTCCTGCAGAACCATTGAGCTCAAAGATGCAAACATCCCCTTCCTTTAGCTTGTTGGATTTATAGAATTCTAACCAACCATTTGTCAAGTGTGTGCGTTTGCAACGAGGACCTCTGCCAATGGATCTAATTGCCACTGGCCATGATTTTCCAGAAGGATCTCTGAGGATAATGCTGGAAATCTGTCTGAGATTATTTGATCTCGAAAATTCTACCGGGACATTCTATCGTGCATGCACAGGCCAAAAGCAGAAACATCAGAAGTTGTTTGTTATGCTGTAAAGCAAAATAACAGCAAAGGCCGAGAACATTGAGAGGTAAACCAGAAAGAGTACCAGAGCCCAACAAAAAGATTACAGAAATTAGGAGGATTTTTTTTTCTCTTATCCTCCAATGGCAAAAGCAAACTGAGAAAGGCACTTTCAACAATGAGGTGAAGCTTCATAACAAAGGTAGAAACCTAACGCAAAAACTCACCATATAAGGATTATGGCAACTGCCATTGCTTGCTGTTATCGTTGACACAAAATGGGAACATCCAGTGCCATAAGATGGACTTGCCTTCAGTGGTATTTCTCCTAGAAAGTGTGCAACCAAAAATCACCCCACCATTAGGCAGTAGAAATGGCAATTATACAATCCTAGTTAGTAATTTTCAAATCGTCGGATATCTTTTACTTCTTTGGAAGGGCAAAATTTAGCATATTGTCATAGCTCTGCCAAAGGTAGAGACCGTACATGAAACTGGCAATCCGTGAGCGGTTTCATTTATAAACGCCTTACTCAAACTCAATAGCAGAGAAAGTAATTGAATCTTTCAATATCAATGAAAACATTTGTGTATTGTCTGTTTAAATATTATGAAGCATTAGATTAATTATCGCTAGTAATAGGTTTACATAAACAAGCTTATTGTATCATGCCAGTATTTCTCATATCATCAAAGAAAATAAGCTAAAATTCAGACAAATTACCGTATTAACTCGCTTGTAAACATTGAGAAATACAATTGAAGTACACCCACAATCATTTCTTATTAACATAGTCAGTCTCATGGGGAAAACATCTGCTAGACAGCAAATCATAATATACTGGGCCCAACTTACCTTTGACATGGTCAGGACTGTTTACTCCAGCTGGTGCTCTCTTTTCTTCATTTTCTAAGTTTGAGGAAAAGTCTTTCTCGCAAGCATTTGGACCAAACACATAGGTATTGAAATGCAGGTTGCCCGTATGTTCAAATACGACAAAATCTCCGAGGCTCAGGCAATGTTGCTGGACAAAAATATCCCAACCCTCTTCGAAATATATGTTTCCTTTGCTTCCTTTACCAATCTTAACGGTCCATGACCCTTTACAACTAGTTAGAATAGCTTCATCTAATCTTTCTTCTTTTAGCTTTCTACAGAAAGCTGGTGGTATGGACTGTGCATGAACAAAATAGAGAGTCAACAGCTGTGGAACAACATAGATCAAATTGTACAGAAGCAGAAATGTTAAAAGGGTTAAGGTCAATTCTTGCAGCATCAGGAACTCAGCATGACAAAGCATGTAGTCACCATCCTTCCTATCTAGCCTATTTATTATTAAAAAGAGACACTCAAAGTCTCAAACCCTTGATTTCCACACGGGTTCGAGTCACCCGAATCGATATCTGATCATAAGGCATCATATTCCGTAAAATTATTAAAACTTTGAATGGAATGTTTTTCCATACTTTCTGCATTCAGTTTTAGCTATTCCTACATCTGCTGATTGACCTGAACAACATATACGGATCCCCTCAATCTCCCCTAATGGAATATCCTTCGCTATTTTACTAAAAATGGAACAAAATGATCTTGTTTTGTTCATCGATGTCTTGAGCAATTGGAGAAGCACTTTGATAAATAAAATTTATCTTGACCGACTCAATGAAGGTATTAGTGTTTGTTCTATTAAACAACAAAGATCACATTTTTTTTACTTCGTTCAAATAAAGAGTTGTACTCGTATGTAATTCTTCTGTTTCTTAATTTTTATCATCATCGCTATCCCCTTTATCAATTCTTCTATCCCACCTAGGCCTATGAATTTTTCTATCAATTCCATTGAAACTATACCNTGTTTAAATATTATGAAGCATTAGATTAATTATCGCTAGTAATAGGTTTACATAAACAAGCTTATTGTATCATGCCAGTATTTCTCATATCATCAAAGAAAATAAGCTAAAATTCAGACAAATTACCGTATTAACTCGCTTGTAAACATTGAGAAATACAATTGAAGTACACCCACAATCATTTCTTATTAACATAGTCAGTCTCATGGGGAAAACATCTGCTAGACAGCAAATCATAATATACTGGGCCCAACTTACCTTTGACATGGTCAGGACTGTTTACTCCAGCTGGTGCTCTCTTTTCTTCATTTTCTAAGTTTGAGGAAAAGTCTTTCTCGCAAGCATTTGGACCAAACACATAGGTATTGAAATGCAGGTTGCCCGTATGTTCAAATACGACAAAATCTCCGAGGCTCAGGCAATGTTGCTGGACAAAAATATCCCAACCCTCTTCGAAATATATGTTTCCTTTGCTTCCTTTACCAATCTTAACGGTCCATGACCCTTTACAACTAGTTAGAATAGCTTCATCTAATCTTTCTTCTTTTAGCTTTCTACAGAAAGCTGGTGGTATGGACTGTGCATGAACAAAATAGAGAGTCAACAGCTGTGGAACAACATAGATCAAATTGTACAGAAGCAGAAATGTTAAAAGGGTTAAGGTCAATTCTTGCAGCATCAGGAACTCAGCATGACAAAGCATGTAGTCACCATCCTTCCTATCTAGCCTATTTATTATTAAAAAGAGACACTCAAAGTCTCAAACCCTTGATTTCCACACGGGTTCGAGTCACCCGAATCGATATCTGATCATAAGGCATCATATTCCGTAAAATTATTAAAACTTTGAATGGAATGTTTTTCCATACTTTCTGCATTCAGTTTTAGCTATTCCTACATCTGCTGATTGACCTGAACAACATATACGGATCCCCTCAATCTCCCCTAATGGAATATCCTTCGCTATTTTACTAAAAATGGAACAAAATGATCTTGTTTTGTTCATCGATGTCTTGAGCAATTGGAGAAGCACTTTGATAAATAAAATTTATCTTGACCGACTCAATGAAGGTATTAGTGTTTGTTCTATTAAACAACAAAGATCACATTTTTTTTACTTCGTTCAAATAAAGAGTTGTACTCGTATGTAATTCTTCTGTTTCTTAATTTTTATCATCATCGCTATCCCCTTTATCAATTCTTCTATCCCACCTAGGCCTATGAATTTTTCTATCAATTCCATTGAAACTATACCTCAAATACAGTTAAACAAACCCAAAACAGAGGGGAAGAGAGAGAGAGAGAGAGAGATGACATACAGCTTTTGCGAGGAAACCAGGCATCATCACCTTGAAAAAATGTCTGGTTATTGGCAGTGTACCATCCATCTGAGATGAAGACATTAAGACCTATCTATGGCTAATCCTAAACTAATAAACCTTTTTATTCATTCATGTGTGCTATGACAACGGTTGCCACACAGCAACCCTTCAATTACCCTTCAAGCAATGAAACCAATCTCCACCCACCAACCAACCACACCCACTTTACTTCTCTAGTCTTAATGGCTAGCAGCCTAGCAGTTTAATAAGTGATTGAATGACCCAATGGTTTATATCCGTTACCCTTAATTAGAATGGAACCAAACATTCATTTTAACAAGAAAGTCCGAATCATTAGAGGGCAAAAGGATCGGTCGTAGCATTGCAGAATGATATCGAAAAATCGTACATAGAAGACGAGAGATTCATGCATAGAGTTCTAGAACCATATTAGCATGAGACTCATGGTTTATATGTGGAACTATATCAGATCGGAAGAGACCAGAGTCGGATAAGACTAACATTGAAGTGGATCCAAGCCAAGATTACACTTAAAACACCCTAATTAATACAGGGTGAAGAAACCTGGCATGTACTGAAATCAATCACCCACAATCCTGGTCCCTGGATCTTGAATGTTATATTCCAAGCTCACTTCTATTGAAGATTATAGTAATCTAAAAAGGGGGGCACGAGGCTCTCGTCATTGTGGGGAATAGAGCAAAATTTTTCCCAGTGGACAAAAAAACCATAGCTAAACCATAATTTCACCACAAGAGGCTTTAGTATAGAACCATGCTTCTCTCTTGAAAACCTTTTATTCGTCATCGCCGCTGCTCAACTCAAAAAACTCTTCGGGTTCTTCAATCTTCGCTGCCTTTTGTATGCCAGCAAAAATTCTCTCCCTGTATTCACTCCTCATTTTCTCAACCTTAGCTCTGTAGGGTGCTTTGTCATCCTCAGACATTGAATACCATTTGTCTGCACCAGCTTTAGTGACTACAACAAGGGGAGTTTTCTTGGGATGTATTTCCTTGAACTGCTTCCTATAATCATCTAAGAAGAACACAAAGGCGCTTAGAGGCTTCTTTGGCTTCTCCTGGTTTTTCATGGTCTTTTCCTTCTTAGCTGGACTTCGTCGTGCGGTCTCAGATTCTGAAGTCGTCCTCTTTCCACAAAACTTGCTCTGTGTTTTTGTGTTCTTGGCCTTTGATTCATCTTCTTTCATGGTCACTCCTGTGGATACAGAAACGTAAGATGCAGTAAGGGGAAAAAGTACAAGAACAATTCAATGCACAGAGCAATCCTTATTTGGTGATTTACAATACGCCTGCCTTGAATGCTAAAAAACCCAAGATGAAAATTCATCACCACATCATTATGGATTTCTTTCTGGTGTAATGTGTTCAAAGCAGGCAAGTAGAAGGATGCTTGGGCAGTCCAGTGCACGAGATTCCAGTCACTACAGATTTTGAGGGTGTCAAAAGTATGGTTATTCTAATGCAAATAACAGGACAGCAACCGTAATAGGGTAATTGTCATTGACTGCGGGAATAATTTAGAAAGAACTCACGCTTACTAAGAATTCCTTATTGAAGACCAACAATTGCAATGATCTCTCAATAATTTTAACCCAAAAAGAACTTACCATCACTACAATTGAGGGGCTTGTCAATGTTTACTTTTGATGTTTGCTTCTTATCCTTAGCCAACTCAACAGTGAACTCTTTCTCGCATGCACTTCGATCAAACACTACCACATTGAAGAACATTTGTCCCTTTTGTTCAAATACAAGAAAATCTCCAACATTCAAATTATGGTTTTGCACAAACTCGTCCCAGCCTTTTTCAAAATAAAATCGGCCCTTGTCGCATTTGCCAACTTTGACATGCCATGATCCCTTGCAACTTGTCAGGATTGCTTCCTCCAATCTCTCTCCTCTTAGGCGCCTGCAGAAAGCTGGCGGAATTGCCTGCTCTTGTATTTAATACATATATGCATAGAAAACAGCTTCCAGAGATCAGGTTGGACTCGTTTCAAGTTCTTCATATGCAATTCATACAGGTTTGTTCTAGATACAATATAGTGACATTAGTCTGTTTCAACATAGATTCAACACATATAGACGTGTTCAAAGGGGTATAATCAAACTATGGGATGATCATATAAAAACTTTGGATTTGGCTTTTGTTCTAATGGACTAGATATAAAATATGCAAGTGAAATAAAATCACTGACAGAAAAGCTAGGTGTAACTAATTGATGTCTGAGAATTGGAAAGCATACAAGTAGAGTATGAAAACCAGGCAGCATAATCTTAAAGAATCGCCTGCCAATGCCAAGTTCTCTAGCCGACCGAGTTAAAGGCATACTTTCACAGTAGAGTCTGAATTACTGTTATGACTGAACCACAAGGCTATGTAGTCTGTAATACAGAGTTCTTTGGATGGCCTTATGAACAAAACTGACACTTATAAATTTAATATTTGCATGGACAGTTAGTTCTTCAATGAATCTGGTCAGCAACTGTGAAATAGATCCTTCGTTCTCCCCGTAAAAGTTCAATTACACCTCCCAATGCACCAACCCACCGATCCTTTGGGCGTTCTCATTACTGGGTCTTTATCTGATTTAGAATCCCAATAGTCTAGGATGGTTACATATAATTTTCTCAATTCTTTTCATGAACTAGTTGAACCAAACGCCTCTTAATCTCAATACATTCTGATAATTTAAGAAACTGAGGACAAACCATAAATCACAATTATCGGTTAAGCAGGTAGACACCGTTAAACTCAAGTTGTCTGAGTTGATAATTCAGCTGGACTAACACCACGCCACTGGACTACGTGTGGGGGTTGGTTGATGTGTACTTTTGCTGTGGTCATCAAATAAGTGTAGTTTTGTTGTAGACAGGTAGGTGTTCATGTCTGACCAGTGGAAGGATTGAAGGACATCAACTGTATAGTTTATCTTGATGATAATAGTGGAATTGGCGATTTTAGTGGACACTACCAGATGTTCAAGGTAAATATACTTGCGGTTTCTAAAAAATTTCAGGCATTCTTTCCACTGTTTTAAGAACTAAATGACAAACTCTTTCATAAAGATGAAAAAATACAGTAGATTTCATAAGAAAAGAAATACAGATGTAGTTCTAGTTAAAAAATAGACTAAAGCAAAAAGAAGAAAAGCTACATCATGCTTCTGGGACTAACCCACTCCTCTACAAGCCTCCCCGGCGAATATGTCTTGTAATTGTTGTGGTAAGCAAGAAGTCCAGTAAGGTGGAAGGTTCTTCCATAACTTCTGTGTTGCTAGTGCTATCCATTGAGTGGCTTCATTACATTCCCTCGGAATTGCTTGCAACCCTGAAGTTAGAAAACTGTATTGCATATTGCCAAACATCTCCTTGAATTGTCTCTCTCTCGTATGGGATGCAACTGTTCATGTTTTAAAGAATCAATGCCTTGCCTTTGAATCAGATTCAATGATGATTGAATCATAACCAGGTACACCATCACAGTTCCTTACCGCAACACCAAAAGCCCTTTTTTTAGCTGTTCCTTACAGGCACCATCAAAGTTGATTTTCACCCACTTTCTTGGTGGACCAACTTGCACATTATTTCTCATCTGCTGCTTGCTTCCTGATACCTGATCCGGGGATTAATAAGGCTGAGTTCTTCAACTGCAGTGATATCGCATGGTGAATAGTTCTTCCAACCATAGGCTGAAGGTGATGATATGGCCACTGGTTTCTTGCTTTCCATATAAACCACAACAAGAAAAGCCACAAGAAAGGACTACTAGGGTTTCATGAATAGGAGAGTGAGTTCAATTTTCTAACACCATATCTTGTGCTTAGGTAAGGGATTTGAACAATAGTAGATCTTCTATATGGTGCTAGTAAAACTCTTCCTTAGTAAGATCTCGATTGGGAAACATTTTCTATTTTTACTCATAAAATATTTCCACGCATATAATAAGATTCTAAGTTCTCGTGTATTTTACGTGTATAATACAAGTACTTACCAAGTTTAGGATTAATGTCCTGATTAACTTGGGGCTGATCATCTCTGGCTTTGCAATCTTAAACTGTCTCCAACATTGACTTGGTCTTATGGATTTCATTGCTAAAATTGCCTAACTATAGTAATGTACCCAAATCTTGCAAATTCCAACTGGTTTGCTATATTTTGAGAACCAGTTTAATGGGTGCCTAACACCATAGCTTCCGGATATCAAGATCTAGAGATTTTTGCAGAGCCTCTCAATCTTCACCCCTTATAATCAATCATACTTTGGGTTCTCAATCAACAACCTCTCCATTTCTCCATCCCAAATTCATCCCCTGTAGGCAGCCTTGGGGCTCTCCAAGGTGACCTTGGCATTAAAAAATGCGGGCCTCCGGCTGCTTCGTTTTTCTTTTGTTCTTCCTCTTCTCTTCATTTTCTTTGGGTTCTTTGGCTCTGTCGGATGCTGAGGCATCATTTATTACTCATCGCCAACTCTTAGCCCTTCGGGAGAATGATGATTTGCCACCTGGCTATGAATATGAGGTCGATGTTAAATTCACCTTCGCCAATCCTAGGCTTAGACGCGCCTACATTGCGCTTCAAGCTTGGAAAAAGGCCATATATTCGGACCCTTTGAACACAACAAGAAATTGGGAGGGTGCCGATGTTTGCAATTACATGGGCGTGTTTTGTGCACCGGCTCTTGACGATCCGCAGCTGATGGTTGTGGCCGGTATTGATCTAAACCATGGTGACATTGCCGGTCACCTCCCTGTTGAACTAGGCTTATTGACTGACCTCGCTCTTTTTCATATTAATTCAAACCGGTTTTGTGGAATCATCCCAAAGAGTTTCTCAAAACTTACCCTTATGCATGAGTTTGATGTTAGCAACAACCGTTTTGTTGGTCAGTTCCCAAAAGTTGTTCTCTCAATGCCAAGTCTCAAGTATCTTGATCTTAGGTATAACAATTTTGAGGGAGAATTGCCTCATAAACTCTTCGACAAGGAACTTGACGTATTGTTCTTGAACAATAATCGATTTGACTCGAACATTCCTGAAAATCTTGGGAATTCACCGGCCTCAGTCATTGTGTTTGCCAATAACAAATTAAAAGGCTGCATTCCAAGAAGCATTGGTAAAATGGTGAACACCCTGAATGAAATTGTGTTCTTGAACAATGAACTATCGGGATGTTTGCCATCGGAGATTGGATTGCTCGGAAACGTGACAGTTTTTGATGCCAGATCGAATGGATTTACAGGGCTATTGCCAAAGAGTTTTAAAGGGCTTGAAAAGGTGGAGATATTGGATGTTTCAGACAACAAGCTTACAGGTTTTGTTCCTGAAAATGTTTGTCGTTTGCCCGGGTTGAAGAATTTCACATTTTCACAGAACTATTTCAACGGTGAGGCCAAGGCATGTGAGCCAGGATTAAGGAAAGACATTGTATTGGATGATACGAGCAATTGTTTGCCCGATCGACCTAAACAGAAGTCTCAAAAGCAATGTGTTCCGGTGGTGAACAAGCCAGTTGATTGCAGCAAGGATAAGTGTGGGAAATCATCACCGCCACATCGCCAGAGCCCTGTTGAGAAGGAAAGGCCACCAAAGCCGGCGGCACCTTCAGTTCCGACACCCAAGTTGAACCCTCCACCACCAGTTCACTCCCCGCCACCACCATCACCTCCTGTTTTCTCTCCCCCGCCACCTCCAGTCCATTCTCCTCCACCACCTGTTCACTCCCCACCACCACCACCAGTCCTCTCTCCACCACCTCCTGTTTTCTCTCCCCCACCTCCTCCAGTCCATTCTCCTCCACCACCTGTTCACTCCCCACCACCACCAGTTCATTCCCCACCACCCCCAGTCCTCTCTCCACCACCTCCTCCAGTCCATTCTCCTCCACCACCTGTTCACTCCCCACCACCACCAGTTCATTCCCCACCACCCCCAGTCCTCTCTCCACCACCTCCTCCAGTCCATTCTCCTCCACCACCTGTTCACTCCCCACCACCACCAGTTCATTCCCCACCACCCCCAGTCCTCTCTCCACCACCTCCTCCAGTCCATTCTCCTCCACCACCTGTTCACTCCCCACCACCACCAGTTCATTCCCCACCACCCCCAGTCCTCTCTCCACCACCTCCTCCAGTCCATTCTCCTCCACCACCTGTTCACTCCCCACCACCACCAGTTCATTCCCCACCACCCCCAGTCCTCTCTCCACCACCTCCTCCAGTCCATTCTCCTCCACCACCTGTTCACTCCCCACCACCACCAGTTCATTCCCCACCACCCCCAGTCCTCTCTCCACCACCTCCTCCAGTCCATTCTCCTCCACCACCTGTTCACTCCCCACCACCACCAGTTCATTCCCCACCACCCCCAGTCCTCTCTCCACCACCTCCTCCAGTCCATTCTCCTCCACCACCTGTTCACTCCCCACCACCACCAGTTCATTCCCCACCACCCCCAGTCCTCTCTCCACCACCTCCTGTTTTCTCTCCCCCACCTCCTCCAGTCCATTCTCCTCCACCACCTGTTCACTCCCCACCACCACCAGTTCATTCCCCACCACCCCCAGTCCTCTCTCCACCACCTCCTCCAGTCCATTCTCCTCCACCACCTGTTCACTCCCCACCACCACCAGTTCATTCCCCACCACCCCCAGTCCTCTCTCCACCACCTCCTGTTTTCTCTCCCCCACCTCCTCCAGTCCATTCTCCTCCACCACCTGTTCACTCCCCACCACCACCAGTTCATTCCCCACCACCCCCAGTCCTCTCTCCACCACCTCCTCCAGTCCATTCTCCTCCACCACCTGTTCACTCCCCACCACCTCCAGTTCATTCCCCACCACCCCCAGTCCGCTCTCCACCACCTCCTGTTTTCTCTCCCCCGCCACCCGTCTACTCTCCTCCGCCCCCTGTTCACTCTCCCCCACCACCAGTCCATTCCCCACCTCCACCAATCCACTCCCCGCCACCACCAGTTCACTCCCCGCCTCCACCTCCACCTCCAGTCTTCTCTCCTCCTCCTCCTCCTCCTGTGCTGTCCCCACCACCGCCGTTCCAAAACGCCATTATTCCACCAACCATAGGCTTCTTATACCCATCACCACCTCCGCCGATGTTCCCAGGCTATTAAATGGTTGCATAAATATTGATAATTTTCTTGTACTTTTTATTCTCTTTATTAGATTTACCATCATATAATGTAAACCTACTTTTGTTAGTTCTTAGTTTATGATCCAAAAAATGAATCTTTGATTCGCTACATCGCTGAGAAACGTTTGGTTCACTGAAATATTGCTGGGACAGCAAAATGTAAATGTTTTATATGATGTTCAAAATTTTGTCTTAGTACATTATTTCGGCTTCTTATAAAATAAAAATTATTCAACTCATTTCAAAAATATAATAAAAATTAATAAAAAAATTAAATATTATCTTTTCTAAATGAAATATACCAAAATATTTTAAAATACTTTGAAACATTTTAAAATAATTGTGTAAATTCGTTGAAATATTACAAAATACCTTAAAACATTATGAAATACTACAAAGTAATAAAATTTTAATTTCATCACCGATTCGTTTCGATCTCTTTAAAAATAAAAACATTTCAACTGTTCCACCGTTTCAAAACAAAATTTTAATTCTTAGTTCTATATGGTATTAACTTGTGTGTCCAATTGTTCTTTGTAGCTCATCTTCTCTCGGATCGGCTCACAATTGTTTACATAATTCATCAATCCGACACAAAATAGATACAAAAATTAGTGGACTATTCTAGTTTAGTAGTTAAATATGATGATGCTTGAAATTAATAGTCCTGGGTCGCAGAGTAGAATCGAGCGAGGCCTAATGTGCTTGTGATAGCTTAACTCTGTGTGTGTGTGTGAGAGAGAGAGAGAGTGTGTGAGTGTGTGCGCGCGCGCGAGAATGTATGTTGTGAATGGACGATAAAGAGAAGATAAGACTTAAGTGATTCGCCATAACCAAAGAACTAAGGTTACATATATTATAAGAGAAACTCTTACTTTTGGGGGGATTATATTACTTGAGGAAAATGGTCACTGTTACAAAAAGTGAGGCTTAGAGTTGTTACAAGATAATACTCGATTCTCTCTTCGTTACATGTTAATATCTTTTTTTTTGTGTATCGTAGCACTCCCAACAATTTATACTATTGACAACTAGGGTTTCACATTCATCCTCCTTGGCTGATCTGGTGGATCCCTCTATTTCCATTTCTACCCTAGTATTATGGTCCCAACCATTTTTGATTCCACTATCTAAAAGATATTGTCTTTGATCCGTCTCCACTATTTGTGAGTTTTTGTTCATCAAAGTGGCCAAACAGTGTTCTCTTGTCCCCTAGTCTCGTGTCCCTTTGCAACTTTTTAGGTTGACCTTGCTCTAGGTTTCCATGTTCCAAGCTCATTAATCTCAAGCTTTCTTTGGTCACGTTCTGGCTCCACGCTTTAACCCAATTTGAGCCTAGAAGGTATTGCCTAGATGGGCTTCTTGGGTCGCTATTTGTGGGCTCAAAGGGTCTTGGGCCCATAAAAGCCCAGACTTAAACTGATCATTATCAAAATTTAATACAAGTTCAACTAGACATAATACGAATAGAATACTAAATCGACATTGATATAAACCTGAATAATTGAATTACATAATTAGAAATGAATAGGGTATGCATTGAATTAAGATTAACACAAATAATTTAGACACTACTTAGATATGTTACGAAGTTGACATAACTCATTCTCAAACTTAATTATGAGTGACCTTTACCCATGGATATATATTTATGTACATGTGTGTATGCATTACTGATATAGAACAAATGACAGTAAAGTATTTGAAACAGATAGACCATCATAGCTTCAAAGTAAAATAAAAAGGCATAAAGGAATAGTAATGGTCAAATGAGTTAGACTCAGAATTCAACGAGACAAATGGTGATTGATTAGGATCGGGCCAACGATAAAGACTTATCGCCTCATAATAAGCTCCTTTAATTTTTGATCGAATTTAATCGATTGGACCTTTAAAATCATATTTTTGTCATTTTAGAAAAGATTTTAAAAATAATAAATCATAGGGTATTCTAAATTTAGCGTTGTCAAATTCTATTAAACTCCAGGCAACACATATTTTTATGTTAAATAGGAAAATTGCATATTCTTATTTTTGAAAATTTTCATTTTTTGAGGGATTTTGCTTCTTTTTTAGGAACGTTTAGGGTTTAGGCCGCTCCTATTTATATTACCTCTTTATACTAAGAGTTAATTTATTGAATAATATTATATTTCAGAGTTAATTTATTGATTGTGTATGTACTACTACCTTTCAATGACTTATCATAAATTTATCTTGTAGTCGCCAGCATCTTCCAGCACTGAATGTAAAACCATTTAGTTATAACTTCAATTTTCAATAATTGATTTAGGGATAATATAAAAAAAAATTGTAAATTTTTTTTTACAATATAATGATTTAGGGATAAAAAAATTGTAAAATGTTGTAAACATATTATACGTAGATATAGATCAACTCTATCCTATTAATTTAATAAGTGTTAGTATTTGACTCTATAATCTCTATTGATAGTTAATATTGTATTTAATGACCATTATAATTTGAGGCTTATAAAAAGAGTCATTCTCCACATTAAAAAAATACACAAGTTGAGAAGTTCGTTATCTAACATATATATATATATATAATCACATACGAAGTTTTTTCTCTAACGTATATATATTCTCTATATTTTTTTTATAATTTATATAATTATCTTACTTTCACAATATAAAAAATATAAAATTTTACCTTAAAAAGTGATTTATATCTAAAACATGATAAGTGAAAAAAAAAAGGTAATGCCCTCCAAAAACTTACCTAAAAAGTGACATAAACACTCAAATAAATCACGATAAGAGATGTATCCTTTATCAATATCTTAGTTTGATATTTGTGATATGTTTTTAATTAGATTCAAGAGAAAATTAGTTAAAGTACGTATAAAAATGGATTAAATACTTTTAAATTTTGATGATTTTAAAAAAAAAAAAAAAACTTAGATACCTATATTTATTTCATGATGTGATATTAAATTGGAGGAATCATATCACCTTGAGGCCCCCACATAATTAATCTACATGAATCATGTACACCACGACAGAGGTCCATTGTCCATTATAAATTAGCACAGGCGCATGGCAACAAAAGGAAAGAGACACCCCAGTGGGCTAAGTGAGTGAACTGAGTGCGAGTACCAACTCCCAACACAAGACAACCCACCATGGTCGACAGCTCTGGTTCCAAAGATGGTGTCTCCGCTCATCTCCCTTAAACCTCAACTGTGAACCCTTATGGTTGTTGAATGCTTGGGCCTATAATCTAATAGTAATTTAGAGATTTTAAGTTTAAGTTATTTTTTTTTTTAACATTTCTTAAGAACTAATCATTCATGGCCTTTTGGAGAAATGTTCTAGATCGACTGAAGTTAAAAAAAATATATAAAAACAAACGTACACTGTGAAGCATCTTTTTGCTCCTTACAGTAAAGCATCTTCCACCTCCATATCCAAACATCAGTAAACGAAGATAGGCTTTGTCTTCTTCTCCAGCAACCCCTAGGTATCGATCTCCGAATATATTTCATTTACCCTCCAATCTCTAGCCCCATCAGAAAACAAAAAATCCATTTCACTGTTCTATAAATATTCGTTTTGTGGGTTTCTTTGGTGTATAGAGCAGAAGCAAATTTTCTGGGGGGGTTTCTCTCTTTTCTGTTTCTTGCAAGCAATCGCGTCAATGGAAGCAATTCAAGCATTGCCCGTGGGTACTGTGGTTGCTTATGGTGGTCCGGCAATTGCTTTGGGTGGTCTCTCGTTGTTTTTTCTTAGAGGGTATGTGAATAATCATAGGAATGGATGGGGATCTTCCAATCTCCCTCTTCCACCAGGTACCATTTTTTTTGTTTTTGATCATCTTCCTTGTCTTGAACAATCTTTTTTTTCTTCAATGGAAAACTATGTAAATCTGTACTGGTACAAGAAATTAAGCAAAACAAAAGAAAATCTTCATATGGGTATGGAGAAACTTTTGACTGTATTGATAAGTGGAGTGTTGGTGGATTGAGTGCAGAAGTACCAGGGGTACCGATAATTGGGAATCTGCTGCAACTGAAGGAGAAGAAACCTCACAATACTTTTACAAAGTGGGCTCAGACTTATGGACCTGTCTATTCGATCAAAACTGGCGCCAACAAAATGGTTGTCCTCAATACCGGCGACGTTGCCAAGGAGGTTTTCTCTCTCTCGATTCTCTTCATTTCAAATTTTGTTAATTTCCTTCAGGTTTTGTCCACAGTTAATATCATTAAAATCACCAGATTTGGGTTGAAACGATTGAGATTGATTAACCGACGATAAACAAAATGGAGAAAATTCGGCGGTTTGGTTCATTATTTTTTTAATTATTGTCAATATTAGCTTTAGTATTTTCTATTCTGTAGAACTGTTTTTAGGAAGAGTTTCATACAATTTTTGCGGCATAAAAAATATCAAAACAATTTTTTTAAACTTTTTCCTAAAAACAATTTTCAAATAATATTTTTTAAGACGCAGGCAAAACAGGGCCCATCTCTCACTTTCCTCCCTCCTCCTTGAACCCTTGTTGAACAAAACTCAAGGAAGAAAATGTGACTTTCTTTCCTTCCAACACTTTCTCCCCTTGCATTTTTATCAACTTGATGGAATAAACTGGTGATACCTTTAGCCATTGCAAATCAAGTCTAGGAGGGCAGGACCTATTTGCTATAGAGGCTAAATGCTAGTAAATGCTGCTTCACTACCATGATAAGTAGTTCCACAGCAAGAAACATTATTTCTTCGTTTATTCTTGTGTTATGTTGATATTTCTTGTTCATTTTTGAACCAGCAATTGATTCGAATGCATACTTGAGTAGCTCCAAAAATGGAAAGAAATATAAAGGCTTGCTGTGTATTGAACTGAGCTATTTTCTGGCTATATGAACTAACATGAAGCATCTAGAAACTTGGTGTATGTGAATGACCTTCGAAATTCATAGTTGATACTTGATAGGGTAGTAAAATACAAGGAATTTCTGTTTTTTGAATCTTCGTGAATCATCCTGCCCGCCCCTAGACACTAGCATCATTGATGAACATCATAGTTCCAATTCTCCATCCTTTCTCTTTGTTTCAGGCAACGGTGACCAGGTTCCAATCCATCTCAACGAGAAAGCTATCAAATGCGTTGAGGATCCTCACTGCTGATAAGAGCATGGTTGCAATGAGTGACTATGATGAGTTCCACAAGACAGCAAAACGACATGTTCTCACAAATGTATTGGGACCTAATGCCCAGGTTTGTGCAGCAAAAAATTCCTCACCAGTGTGCTGTTAACAAATTTCTTCTTCTTTGGTTTTTTAGAAGGCAAATTATGTTTTATACATTTTCCTTGGGTGTATCAGAAGAGACATCGTATCCACAGAGACACCATGATAGGAAATGTTGTACAACAGTTGCATGCTTTTCTGAAAGACCATCCATTTGAAGCCGTAAATCTCAGGAAGATATTCGCGTCCGAACTTTTCGGATTAGCATTGAAGCAGGTCAGTTTCTAGTTATCGTTATAGTTATTTTGTAAAATTTTGAATAGAGAGAGACAAATTGAAGATGAGGAATACTAAGTAAAATGTAATGGGATTGGCAGGCTCTGGGAAAGGATGTGCAATCCATTCATGTGGAGGAACTTGGAACTACTCTGTCAAGAGATGAAATATTTAAGATTTTAGTACTTGACCCAATGGAGGGGGCAATTGATGTGGATTGGAGAGATTTCTTCCCATATATGAAATGGTTTCCAAATAAAAGCTTTGAAAACAAAATCGAGCAGATGCATATTCGCAGGCTTGCAGTGATGAAGGCCCTAATTAAGGAGCAGAAGAAACGTATTGCTTCAGGCGAGGTACACCTGGTCTGCCTTGAAATTCATACTGTGAAATTTCTAAGTTATTTTAAGGTTCAGTAGTTTAATAACTTAAATTCAAACAGGAAATCAACTGTTATCTTGACTACTTGTTATCTGAAGCAAAAACGCTATCGGAGAAACAAATAGAGATGTTGCTTTGGGAATCAATTATTGAAACATCAGATACTACTTTGGTGACCACAGAATGGGCCATGTATGAACTTGCTAAAGATCCAGAGCGGCAGGTTGTTCAATTCTTTCCATTCCTAGTCCTCTGATCTACTGGCATAACCTTTCTGTAACCTACCCTACTGTCACATTATTTTAATTCCCTCTTATTCCAACAGAATCGTCTTTATCGGGAAATTCAAAGTGTTTGTGGAGCTGACAAGATTACAGAGGAGAAGTTGTGTCAAAGTCCATACCTTGCTGCTGTTTTTCACGAAACTTTAAGAAAGCATAGTCCTGTTCCAATAGTTCCCCTACGATACGTTCACGAAGATACGGAGTTAGGAGGTTACCATATCCCAGCGGGAAGCGAGGTTGTTAGTCTTCACATGAGCTCTTTCTTTTATGCTATTCTTTCCTGCAATCTTACTTTCTGAACCATCTTGTGTAGATTGCTATAAACATCCATGGATGTAACATGGACAATAATGTGTGGGAGGTTCCCGAGGAGTGGATGCCTGAGAGATTTCTCGACCGGAAGTATGATTCCGCCGATCTGTTCAAGACAATGGCCTTTGGAGGGGGAAAGAGGGTATGTGCTGGTGCTCTTCAAGCGAGTCTGATTTCTTGCACCGCAATTGGTAGATTCGTTCAAGAGTTTGAGTGGAGACTAACCGATGGAGAGGAGGACAATGTTGATACTCTGGGACTTACAACTCACAAACTCCATCCAATGAAAGCAATCATCAAGTCTAGAAATTGATGTCGGAGGCGTCGACTGTCTTGCCGAGCAATCAATGGTGGTGGTAACTCAAGCCCCCTCCTCCTATCAGTTCTTTGGCTACACCCCTTTATTTTCTGCTACATTATGGACATGTCTGTAGAAGTTCATTGACCACAATGTAAAACTTTCTGAGAACAATGCCTTAGTTATACTGGTTATCCAGAGGATTGTATGATTGAGAGAGTAAACTGCTGTGTTGTGTTAAGGTCGTGAACACTGTAACTCATTAAGTTTGCAAGTTATATGCAAAGAACCCTGGCAGTTGCTTGTAAAACTCTAATCATTTGTGATTATCAAAATGTCTAAATAATATGCAAAAATAAGACCTTTACTAGCACTTTTGTGGTTAAAACCGAAAGAGAGACGCATAATTGGTTGCCTCCGAGGATCAAAATTTCATTTTGAAACAATTGAATTGGTTGAAATATTTTTGTTTTCAAAGAGACCGGAACGAAATAGGGATGAATTCGAAATTTTCATATTTCGTGGTGTTTTGAAGTGTTTTGGAATAACAAAAAATAACCAAATTACTCATTTAAAAATAAATCAGGCCCCATCTAAAACTTTTGTCTAAGACCACAAGTACTCTTGGAAGCCAGGTTTTACCCACGAAAGGTTATATTTTCCTCTAGTATATATCTAGATCTGTGTTTCAATTGGTACGATACAATGAGTTGAGGTTATGAAAGAATTGACTCATTTGGGATTAATTTGAAAATTACACGAAAGATTAATACTTTTAATAAATGGGTCTAAATGGGTCAAGTAATGTTAAATACAAATAATTTGATTTTTATACGATATACCCATTTAACTGATACTATAATAAAAAATATATGTATGATTTTATCTAATTTCACTCATTTCTTGATTTAATATTACGTAAATTGTGGTAGAACTAAATAAATTTTTTATATGGTTTTGCTAAAAAATAGATTTTTAATTTACAGGTATCGTATGTGAGGTTGGTTTTATTGAAAAAACCTTTGTAGTTGTTTGATTTCTGATTTGTAAGTTGCATGAAAATGACACAAATATGAAATAAAAACAATGATATTCAGAATAACGCAACGTCAAGATGAAATGAATCCAAAATTACACAATCCTACAATAACACAAATGCAATTCGATTGACACATCTACGATTAGTCACCATTTGGTACAAATAAAAAAATTTCAAACAAAAGGATCGGAAAAAGAGAGAAAAATAAAGCAATACCAAGAGTTTCGTCAATATGTAATTCCTCGTTTTTGTTAGATGATGTGTGCATGATAAAATTCTTGCTATAAATTGAGATAGCTGATCAATTGTCAATATTGGACGACTAGATCCTGCAACAAAGAACAGAGTTAGAAAGGAAGTCCGACTCATCCCCTCTGATGTCTAAATTAGTAAGAGCTTAAGGGGTGGATAAAATTTTACTATGCTAGATTGTTTGCGACTGCATACTTGACACTTCTAAGGGAGTATGTAATTGTATTGGTCTCCATCAAAGTGGTTGAGGAGAGTTTCATGGGCACATTTATCAACGTGTTATATTTTCTTGAAATCGTATAATTATTAGGCCCGTGCAAAGACGACGTTAATTTGGGATTTGATATTATAATAATTAATTATTTTGAGGTGTCAAGCACCCAATGCAAGTTTCTCCGAGATTTAATGATTTTTAAAAATTATTTGTTGAGTTATACTGAATACTCGTTACTTTTCTTTCGATCATTAAATATAATATCTTTTAAAAGATTAATGTCAATTAAAATCACGCCTTTATCCGGATCTCATGGAATTTTGGGTGTAATCTTGATATGGTCGATTAGTGTGTGTAATCATTTCTTTGATACATCATGCTACGGTGGAGTTACATCACTGCATAGTGTTAAATGCTCGCGCTCATGGATCTCTTTTAATTTGCATAGAGAATCCCTTTGGATCATAACTTTGGGACCGATTTGATATTTTGGTGTTCTATTATTTGTATCCGTGTGCCCAACTCTGATACAAATGTCGTTTCGTATAGAGTCAGTGTGTTATTAACAGTGATCTTGAGTCTGATTGGCAAGTGTTTTTGTGATCCGTGGGCTTAAAATACCGAGGCAAATGGATGAGTATAGTCAAGCCGCCCCACCTAGATGGGTGCAATTTTCTTAGTATCAGCATCGTGGGTGTATACCATTCAACAACACATACAAGTAAGTCAAGGAAAATTGACAGAGATGTGAAGTGTTGAATATTGGCTCCAAGACAAAACCCATTTGGTGTTAACATAGACAACAAACCAAATTGTTTAAATCCGAATTTATTACGCAAAAGTACAGTCATCGATCACATCTTCTCTCTCAATTTTTATTGTCTCCTCTTACTCGATCTCTGGATATTATCCAATAAGATTAAGAATATTCAATTTTTTGATTAGGTGTAATTTTTTATTCTATTCGATCTTATCCGACTCTATTCGATTTCTGAGTAGTCAAAAAAATTAGTTAAGAATGTGGAAGAGTTTTTGATATGTCGATTAAATTGGGTAGGAATACAGAATAGTTATTAATTTTCGTATTCCTACCCTATCCTACCAGCAGTAATTAATTTATATATATATTTATATTAAAAATCCTAATTTTTTAATCATATGATTTAAACTTAAAATAATTATTATTGTATTTGTGTAACAATTATGATGAATTGATATTTATATTTTCTTGTATTTTATTGTAATTGTTGTAGATTTTAGTGTTATTGGTTCATTGTGTTATTAAATTGGTATATGTTATTTAATTGAATTATTAAATAATTTAAAAATTAATAACTACAAAAGTGTTCACTCGATTTCTTACGCAACTTTCTACTCGATTAATTTGACCAGAAGTCGAGTAGGAATATCACACTTAATCGAATAGGATAGGTCAAAAAAAAATTCTTTCGCAAAATATTACATAAAAAAGCGAAAGATCATATTTTTTACCCATAAGAGGGGGTGAAAACCCCTAAATAAAAATGACTTATTTGAAATCTTAGAATGGTTGTTATCCAAGTTTCTAAAGCCCAAATCACTACTATGTTTTTAAATTTGTGAAATAATATTATAATTAATTACATAATTATCTTAACTTTTATTCAATAACTATATAAAAAAAATGATTGCTCATTAAGAAGCATAAAAATAAATTAAATTTAAAATTTCTGAATTATTATTAAAAGTCGGTCTCAACGAATGAACATGCTCTTAAGGGTTGTGGCCGACATGATCATGATTGGAACATGCTAACTATTAAGACAAAATTGTATTCATTAAATTTCAAACCGTCCTTATGAAAATTGTTCTGCTCACTGACCACTGACATGTACAACATGAAACTACCCCGTGATAAGAAATAAAGACATTGTTGAGAAAATGTCACGCAACCTATTCGAAAACATTGTTCCATTACGTTATTCAATTTCCAAGTATATAAAAAAAAATTGTAAGGCATGTGTGTTTAGGGATTTAGATTTATTCTAATATTTTTTTTTTTTGATATATCACCCATTTAAATATGATAAATTTCACTTAAATAAGTAGTAAATGATGTACAAAAAAAAAGAATTTAAAAACAAAAATAGCATTGAAAGCGACGTTACCGAATGAAAGAGAATCCGAACAGACAAAAGCAACTTGGACATGGCTCTCTCTCTCTCCCCTCCCTCTCTGCGCTACTGCTGGAGGCTAAACCCGCGAGCGTGCCTAGTCGAATCTCTGTGAGACGGACACACGTCCCGTCTGCACCACCACCAAACCTCTGCTCCTCCTGCGCCAGCGCCAGCACCACCACCACCACATGTATGTATTGCAAGTTTTCTTTTTTTCCATTAATTAAACGGTACCTGTGTTTGTAAGTGGACACCATAATCACAGAGAGAGAGAGAGAGTGAGTGTGTGTGTGTGTGTGTCTGGAGGAGAAGAATGAAGAAATCTCTCGTGTCCCTGGAGAAGTTTACAGTCCCGTCAAAAAGATTTTCCCTCACGTGTTTCTTGGGCCCTGCTAACTCGCCTAAGATCCGACCCAATAAATAATAATTAAAAAATAATATTTTCTTGTCTATATTAAAATTTAAAAGTTGTTGAAAAATAAAAACAGTGAACCGAGATCTAAATGAAGAGGGATCTATTTATGACTCGATAGATATGTCCCTACAAACAACTACACTGATCTTTTTTTTTTATGTGTTGGCCACGTACAATTTTGTTCTAAAATTTAAAAATATTTTTTTCTATTATAATTGCACCTTTATAAAAACATATTTATCGTCAACTAGGTATGACAGTTCAAAAAAAAAAAATAACTAGGCATGAAACTCTAACATATGGTGATTAAATTTCACTTAATTTATATCAAATATTAATTTCTCAATCAAATTGTGTATGTCTATTTAATATTATAATTAATAATTTGAATTACACATTTATAAAAATATAACAGTAGTTGAAATTAATTCAATTTTTATCTAAAATCATTTCCAAAAAAAAAAAATCAGTCAAAAAATATTATCTTCTCTGAGCTCAAATATCAAACAATTTAATCAATACATTCTCCCGTGTTTGATAACCCTATTAATTCACACATACCTCTTTCTTATCTCTTCCACATTAAAAGAAAAATAGAAAAAATACAAATTATTATTTGAAATACAAATTATTATATAATTAATGCTTAAATTTTTATATTCAATGTCTTCAAGTGAGATTAATAATCAAGTCGAGTTTTACAAGTTTCAACTGAGTTTGTCGAGCTCATTTTTTTTAAACACAAATCGAATTATAATTTGATTAAAAATCAATTCCTCTTATTTGAAACTCATGCAATGCAATAAAATAAATTCAAATTTGAATTATCAATAATTAGCATAGTTGTTGGTGAGTTATGTGCAGGAGTAGGAGTAAAATGGTGGCAAAATGGAATCAAAAGTGCAGAGATCACGGCCACCGAGATATCCGGCACAGCTCCAACCCGTACGAAATAAGCAGTTGATGGGTCTGGTGGTCAGACCCAATTATTGCTTCCCACGCTGCCGACATCAATCATCCTGTCGGTTCTATTCTTCTCATCTCCGACCTATCCTAAGCAAATATAATTTCTCGATAATATATATTTTTATATATACCGATAATTATTCGTGCCCAAAAACACTATAAAATAAATAAAAAATTCTTATACAATTATCCAAATTAAAAAAAAATGCCTAAAAAATATTTATACAAATTCTTCTTTTAAAATGACTCGAAA